AGCCAGTGTCGAAGCATGTTCGCGTCTTGCGCGCCCTGATTCCTGGGTGTGCTTTTGCGACTCACGGTGCAATCCCTGGGCTGGCATAGAAGAGTGACCATCACTTCTAGTATGGCCCGCTGGCTGCTGAATATCTTGCAGATCAATGCTTGCCTGAGTCCCGGGAACGGCCGTCTCATGGAAAGCAAGAGGCCTCACGGTGGTATTATGTTGGCTTCGCGTGGCCGATGGAAAGTAGATTTCCTGAAATTTACCCCTCGACTTAAGCGCCGTATCTTCATTAAGCTCTGTTAGGCAGTGTTCATAGCATCTCTTGATTCGTTGAACAGATTTAGCAAGCTTAGGCAATACGTGATAGGCAGCCATTACGTAGGCAAACCCGGACTTCGACACCCTGCTACTATATGACCAAGGAGTTCACGAGTAGTAGCCTCGAAAACATCTGATCCACAGTCCCCGTCCGCAAGAGGCCCATCAAGGTGAATTGAGAATGCCTCTTGGAACGATGTTGCCCGTGGTAGACGAGTGTACGACGGCATACCAAGTATAGATCCAGTCATTTGGCCGCCGGAGGCTGTGTGTGCGATAACTGGAACGCCATCTCAAGGGAGATCAATTCTAGCTGTAAGAAGGTCACGATGATCGCATCTGAGGAATGAAGAAATATTTGGGTCTCCGCGCTCAATAACTTCTACAAGGGCCCAGTCCTAGTCTACGAACCAGTCGAATAGGACGCCTAAATCGCCAGGGCACTCCCATGGCGGCGTTGTAATTTTTCTTTAAAGATACATAAGCTGCTCCTTGGCAAATGGGGAGTTACTCAATCGCCTGGATCGTGGAGAGGATGCATGATGTTGGTTAATTGGGGCGAATCGAGGGTGGAATTGGAATGCATTTCATCGTCCGATAAGTCATTATGATCAGACAAAGCTTCCGTGCTTTCCCTGCCTATGCTTGTAATAGAAGCTTCCACCATACCGTCGTACTCGGTTTCGCTACCGCTATTAATCTCAAAAACATCGTCCGATGTTGGAGTAGTTCAGTGTCAGTTATCAAATCTGTCGAAGAAGACGTGGCTAGGTGCAAGTTAGGACAAATGGCCACCTAATACTATGGCATTCGCAGTTGCAACGCGGGTTGATGGGTTGTGGTAGATATAGATGGGCATACCGACTGGCTCCAAGAGCTTTGAACGATCATAGAGAACTTCCACCGCCGTGGCTAGGTTGTCCTTTTGAACATTAATGCTCGCCTTTGTTTCCTGGCGTAAACCCAACTGTTCTAGCGGTCCTCCCCATCCAGGCTCTCGCGATGTGTGGGCAGTCTTGAATCCGGGGTGCTGCTCAAGTATGCCACTCTCCTTGATGACTTTCCGAGCCTCCTTCCGGTAGTAATCTTTCTCAGGTATAAATAGAACCGTAGGAGATGCCGTCTTCTCTGTTCTCCCAATCATGTATACTGTTAAAGTGACCCAATCTTCACTTCTTCACTTGACACAGATCCAAACCAACCGTCCAGGTGGCTTAATATCTGTGGCCTCAGCTCAGAGTGAAATCGATCTCGAGCGGAACCTTTAGCCGCCCAACAATGATTTGCGAAATTGATTGTGCCAATGTACCTTCCGATACAGTCTGGAGGTTGCTGCACATGCGGACGTGGACTGCCCCTGGCAATCGAAGTCTCCAAGAGTTGGCTGGTCATGACATCGGCGTGACGAAACGAGGCATCACTGAGGACCCTGAGAAAAGGAATGCTATGGTGGAGAACTGACCGCAGGTATGAAATAAATTTGAAAGGGCGAAAAGCCTGTCCAGATATATTTCAACCTCATTTGACCACCTGCAGACGATGGAGGCGCAGTCATGTTGGGTATCACGAATACCTAAGCCTAAAAAACAAGCCTGTGACGGCGACGAGTGATTAATTGCAAGAAGAGACACTCTCACAATCCCCAGTCCGGTCGCCGAGGCTTATTCCACTGAAATTGCAGGTCAGCCATGCAAGGTATCTGCCCAGATTCCGTTCTCCCATATAGCAAAGAAAGGCGTGGCCCAGAGGAGAGGAGTGCCCAACATCCAATCTTGCGAATGTGTTATGCCAAAGCCGCCGTACGAAGGTCCACGGTACCTAGTATGCCATTAAGAAGATAAAGCAACGACAGTTCGGTACAGCAAGTGGCGTCTGTTGTGCGTATGCAACATATCCAGAACATTGCCAAGCACATGTTGCCGGATTGCGCTCGGGCACAGCTTCGTCGTTACTCTCGTTCCACAATGCCATGAAGCCTTGATCGACCAAGGCCGGCATGTACTGGTAAGAACCCATCAAAATATATATGATATAGTGCGCCGGTTTGAAGACCTTACTCCCCGACACGAAATTGAAGAAGGCCTGATATCGAGGCTTTATACGCCCCATCGACACGACGAAGACGACGTATTAGACCGCACGATCGATCTCGCAGCCCGATTACATCTCATGGTCAATATTTCTGTGGACGAACCCGTGATTTCCGGACAAGTGCAGCTGAGATGGATATTTGGAATACTTAAAGAATATCTGAACCGTCACTTTAGCGAGCCCCAGGTGCTTGGGAATGACGGTATCAAACTAGAACAAATGTTCACAGCGGTGGATCTGGAGCACATTGCGGGAATAAGGATAAAGCCCACGGATAACTTGGCAGATCATCTACGGATGATTGATAAAGAGAACAAGGTTGTTGCGATATTCCACCATGCTGCTTTCTTGAAGCGGCAGACCAGGTGCGTCTAAGACAAGCTTTCGAAGGCTGTTGCTGACTGGGACAGTCACTTACATCTTAATGGTCCCCGGGAAGAAACACTACGAACATTGTGGCTTCTCTTCCCATAGCATGATAAGTAAACTTGAAATTGGTTAAGAAGGCACCCCAAATCATATTAAATCGACATGACATTACTGACATGTGACCTAATGCGACTTAACCATCGACAAATTAAGGGATTACACTTCTAGCATGACCGCTTGATTATCTCAAAGCAGGCTTTCGACCAGTCTTGGCCTGAAATAATATCACAGTGGTGGTGGGATCGGCGGAATGGCGTCCAATGGTAACCTTCTTAGTGGCTATTATTATCCTGTTCTAAACCATCTTCTTTGACATGGTGCAGAGCGTTAAAGGGGCATTGCAAGTCTACAAGGCGTTTCATCCGTCGTAGTCCATCTTGACACAACCGGCTTCGCTAGTGATTGCCAGCTGGGGTGGGATCTCTGCGCTTAGATTCGGCTGCTGGAAATCGGCGACGTCAAACCTTTGCAGGTAACGATGAAACTCGAATTGCTCTTTAAACCAAAACTTTCTCCATCTACAATCGACCCGCCAGCAATACCCAAGTCCGCTTTGGCAGGACGGAGGCAGTATTGCCAATTCTCGTCTGCATCTTAAGCTTTCATCTGCCTATTTATTCCACGTAATAGCTAATTTATTTACGTTTTGTCACGTTCTTAGAGTCACAGTTGGCTTGATTAAATGCTGTGGCACGCAGGTAGTTAGCCGCTCTCGATTCAACACCCAGGGGTAGCATCTATGTTCTACGATGAGCCTCACGGCTGGCCAAGGTAGAATGTACCGTTAGCTCACCATCTCCAAAACTAGTTGCTTGGGTTAGAAGACTTGCTCTTTATCGTAGAAAACATTAAAGGTAGGAGAGCTGTGACAATGATGTACCTACTTGAAATCGAAGATCCAAAAAAAAAAAAAAATCTACTTTTACCCAGGTACCTATTTTTATACCTTGATTAGCACCGTTAAACTCTTACATGATCTCAACTAACTTTAGTAAACACATTTTTTAGGTTTCATTACATTACAACCAATTTTAAAAACCCCATTACGATACAGAATCAGGACAACTCGAAAAGGCGCCGGGGGCCTAATCAGGCTTAGAAACAACTCCACGTATTGTAGCGTTATCAACTCCGCCAGGGCTAGTGTTTTGCCAGATTTCTCTCAAAGACGCCCATCGTCCGCGTTGAGGGTGGTCATGTAACAAGGGTTCAGCCTCGCCGCCACATCGCACAATTTCGGCTTTACATCCTTGTTTTCTAGTATACCTAGGTAGCCAAGAAAAGAGCAATTTCGTCACCCTTGTCTCGTCTAAGAGCCCCAACTCCAAACTCCACACCGTGTGGCTGCTGCATGGATAGACCCAAGCTAAGAACGTCCCGAAAGTATAAGCCCCTTGAGTGAGTCGTTATTCAGAGGTCCAAAATGCCGTGTCAGTCTAACAGTAACCGCAGTCTGCGTGGTCAAGCGATCGAGGTTATGGTGGGATCCGATGCCCCAACGATGTTTAGTGGTTCACGGGCATTTCATATGCTCATCTTCAGACTTTTTTAAAGCTGTAACGAATAGTCACTGGGGGGAATCAATCAATCGGTCCGTTAACCTAGGCGAGGAAGTCCCAGAAGTGTTTGTACTGCTATTGGTTCCCTGGATATTAGATTAGTCTCAAAGTCAGCCCTCATATGACGTTCTGGGCAGCCGGGCAGCCGATCTTGTCGTCTCGACTACGTACCTACTTTGCAGACGGGGCAACCGGAACAAACTCCCTTCCACCAGGCCATATTTAGTATTTAGCGCCACTTCGATTCGTTGGTGACGAGCAGATCCTACTGGCTGAGAGCGCCGAATCGTCTCGCTAGGACGGACGCAGTTAATGTCGCACAGCGTCACAGCGTCAAAAACAGAACATCGAATGGATATCAACCACTAGTTGCGCTCATTGAAGCCAACTATGCAGCCACAATAAATACATCCATCTAGCATGGACCCTCCATTACGTGTCCCTGATCCAAGCTCTCTCTTTTGTCATGGGCCTTCCAGCTACACTACCGAAAGTGGAGAACTCTCCTGGTAGTTTATGCTCGCTATCTGGTATAATATACTATCACATCTCTCAAGACCTTAACGAGATCGACTCAGATACTATCAAATCTAGCTAACTATTAATTGCATCTTAAACCTCAAAGCCAAATCGCTCTTGACGAACCTTGGGTGGAAGGCTTAGGAATTCCGATCTAGTAATATCCCCTAATTTGTCAAGGTTAGGTTGAATTTTTTTAATCCTCGCCCGGAAATCGTCGACCCTCGTTTTATTCAGCCTATCCTCGTTTAGGTAAACTGCATCAGAGAAGAGGGCGTAGGTATCAGCATTCATTATGCTCTCATCCTTCCTGAGGTTCGTAGCTTTATGTAGGCCGTATGCTATATCCTGAGTATCCTTGATCCATTTGGAATGAGTAAATTCATGAATTACGGTGTGGATAATAGAGGATATTTCGTCAAAATCCGGAAACATAGGTTGGAAATAACCTCGCTTGCAAAACATCAAATTGGCTGGGTCTGAATCGCGGAATATAGAGGCAAAGACAGGGCGGCGGCATCTGTTAGGACTGCAAGTAATGTAAAGTCGTGTATTGTTGAGGCTACACAAGGTAGCGACTTTATCGAAGGTATTGGCGACAGAGTTCCTGGTTTCCTGGCTTGAGTCCTTGAAATAGCCCTCCATTAGCTCAGCTGAACCAGTCAAGGCAGCTTTCCGCGCCGCTGTAGCTAAAGACGCACAGCCAAGAATGCCTTCCTTTAGCACGCTCAGATAATCAGGAGGGCACTTATAGACTCTCTCCTCAAATGCTTCCGGCAGGGGGGGAAAAAACTTAGGGTAGATTAATGCATTGTCTAACTTGTATCGAATAGAGCGGACTAGCTTCGTGCTTCCAGCCTCGGCGGTACGAAAGGTAGCATCGATCCAGAAAAGAGTGTTTTTGTTACCGCAAAACCCAGAGGCGTTACGAACATCGAGCAAGTCGATAGTTGTAGTAATGCTCCCCCCTACTGGCATAAATTGGAACTCTGACTCATTTTTTGGGTCGGTACGTGGCCGGTCAAAGCTGTTCGTAATACCCACTCTGCAGCCTGCGCAATGAGTAAGTATTAATCACTTGTAATTACTGTAGGGAATGAAGGCATACTTCGCTCGAGAAAAACGCGCATTGATTCTAGGGGGTTACCATCAAGAACACTACCGGCTTTGAGGATATTAAAAGCCTTTGGGCTTTTATTCTCAATAGTTATATTAAGCTTGGTCCATGTATCCAACTCGGCTCGGACATTAAGGCTTTTAGGCCAGTCTTCCGGGACAGCAGGATGGGCAGCGGCAAGTGTTAGCGGTGCAATAATTGCTAGCAGCCTCATGTTTAATGGTAGAACCAGCACCGATTTGGCTGAAGTGGGCGATCAATAAGGCTATAAATGAGGAAATATTGAGAAGTGGGAGCTCAAGGCGATTTCAAGCTTAGTGCTAGCGTTGAAAGTATCTTGTTCCCTCATATACCACCAGGGCAAAGAAGGGCGTCTTTATAAGACAGTAAGCGTTCATACGCATGCAGACCATCTAGCGGGTATATTAACATTAAATTCATGCACATGCAGACCATCTACCGGGTATAGTAACATTAAGCTTCGAAGGTTGTGGCGTGATAAAGCACGAGGTGGGCCGGTTTCTCCCACGATTAAGGGTGTAAGAAAATCCCCACCGCATTAGGTACGTATGCAGGGACGGGACGAACACCTGTTAATAATCAAGCGTATTATAGAAAAAAGACTCCCACAGAGCGTCCGACTAGTCACTAGTGCTTTTCGGTGGGACTTGGCTAGGTAGTGTCAATGCCAATTAAATTTCTTCCAGTTAACCGTTTATGCGTTTCTTGTAAACTAGCTGGTTTACGTGGCTGCTTCTTATCTTGTGTATTGTCTTTTATCTGCGATATTACCAAGGTGAATATAGACTCATGTAGCTACCGTGGTAAAGAACGTATAATAAAATGCTAGTAGTAACCTGTTTGAGTGAAAAGTTAGCTATTTTCCCTTATATTAGCATAAAATGATTAAATAAAAGTAAACAGCGCAAATAATATATTAGTTAGAACTACTTTTATATAGTATTTTCTATAACCTTATTACACTTACTAAGGTAGTTACTACGAGTAGTATATTATAGAGTTTTTATTTTGTATAACCAGTAATAACTTATAATAAACAAGGATTCAGTTTTGTAGCCTTAGTGCGGCATTTTTTTCCTATAAATTATTACATTCAATGCGTTGTAGATATGCTTGCTCGTATTATACGAGATAGGGGAATACGAGTAAATTTCGGTAAAGTGGACATTTATACCCACGAAGTACCGGACGCAGAGGCGTGGACCTTTTTTACCACGTTTTCAAGTTGTTAGGGTAGGCTGAGGGAAGTCTTTATATGCAATATAGTTAGTGATAACGAAGCCTAACGGCGACCTGTTTAATAAACACTACTAAAGACACCTCTTACTTAGATACTTAGCATCTTTACGCGCGTGTATATTTAGATTAGGAAAAGCAGGAAGAAGCTCAGGTTAAGCTTAGAGAGAACTTAAGAACTTAAGAAGCTTGCTATCACTTAGTAAAGTAATAGATGATTAGCGCTTGAGTTACTGTGGCTAAAAGCAGCAATGTAATGCGTCTTGATCAACGTTCTGTTGCAAAACAGACATAGCCTGACTACAGGCTAATAGCATGCGACTATAATATTGATCGATAACTGAGAGCGCGATGTCTTGTGTGATATCCAATTATATCTGTTATCATAGTGGAGTCGTAGCGATAACACGTTTAAAGCCCAACAACAACAATGCCCAAAAAGGCCATCGCCGATATAGGACCTACCAGGTTACACAGACTGAACACATGACCCGCTGGGAGCCTTAGGCATAACTATTCCTTTCATGTATATATAGCGGCTACTAGTCCCTTTCTTTCCCTTTACAATCAAGGACATTTAATATCCAACAAGAGTATCTTTGAATAGAGTCATTACGCTCCAAGCCCTTGATACCAAGCCCTTGTCACATACCGTCCCAGGGTGACCTTTCTATAAAGCCGTAACTAGTAACCCTTACTCCGCTGGCCATCTCGCAATTTCCATCTCAGCCCTTCTCACGATCTCCATGCCTTTAACACAATGAGGCCTGGGAGTTTTTTCATTGTTTTGGCGTTATCCACGAACATTAAGGGAGCAGAACTGGATTCTGGACTATCGCACTCTCCGTTAGAACAGGACCAAAACATACGCCACTACTCTGCATATGACTCTGATTGCCTAAAAACTTGGAGATGTGGTCCTGAGAAGCAGTATTACTGCTCAAAAATCAGCGGTAAATGGCTTTGTCTCGTAAGCCACAGACTATACCATAATAACAGACCTGGCTTAACCATAACTATTACTTAGGGTACGAAATGTCCTAATTTTCCGTGTGGGAACGATTGGTTCCAGTGCAATAACGAATGCGGTTGTGATCCAGGTCCGCCGCTGAGGCGAGGACTAGCGGTAGACCATTTGGGGCACTGCTATGAACCTTGAGGATGGACACCCTCTTTGCAGGGTTTGGTGATGGAGATATATTGAAAATGCGGCAGTACTATCTTGCTTCGCATGGTTTCACTCTTTGACGTACGAGATCAAGTTGCAGAAACGGTTTCCCAGTTCTTGAGTCACCGTGCCCAATCACTGATCTAGATAGCATCAGGACTAAACACGAGTACGTATCCCATCATTCGATAAAGCGCATTGAAAGTCATCTCGCTTGTGGCTGTCACGCCTATTCTGTGGCAACAAATGGGATTACTCGCGATATTCGGCAACGTATTTGAAGCCCCGATATGGATATCAGCTTGAGTTCGTTGTTAGTCAAGACGACGATCATATACCAAGACGAGCGACATACTCGGCCATTTTCTTGCCAACCCATGTCCTTCGCCCACTGTTGAACACGGGGAACTCGTAGGGTGACCTCTAAATAAGCTTCCCAAGCTCAATCCGCCTCTCAGGTGCAAACGTATCGGCGTCTTCGCTCCATACAAGTTTCCACCTATTCATTAACCAGGTGCACCACATTACTATCGTACGCTTGGGCAGGAAAGTGCCATTGGGTAGTGAAGTTGCTAGCTCGCACTGCCTGAGTTTGAAGGGTTGGGGGGGGTAGAGCTGTAGGGCTTTATAGAAGACTTTCGTCATGTATGGCAGCGCCGCAGGTCGAAGTGCAGACGATTCAAGCCTTGGGGAAGATGTCAAGATTCATAATTCATACTTTGGATAGATATCACAACGGACAGAACAGAGTCTCACCCCAGGGTCAGTCGTGGCCAGTGAATGATTGCCTATCAATACCGGAATGGTAAAGTATAAGAATAACTCGGCCTGCTATTAGTGCATTCATTATCACGCACGCAAAGAGAATTCTGTCTGCTCCCTCTACCTACCTAGGCAGTCTGCATACATCGATTGTACCAGCCCCTCCTGTTTGGGGGATGCTAGAAGATGCATTCGATCATAGCAGGGGTACGTATGTCTTGATTCGTGTAGGTCCAAGGGGTGTTACATGTACCAACCATATCGGACATATGTTTCTGATATCATGGCCGAGTATATCGACCTTGTACTTAGTCTGGCTGTATGCTTGAGGAGCTAATAGAATTTCCACTCGGTTCAAATGAAAACAATCGGTCCAAGCGTCTCACATTACGGTGTGCATCATGTCTAGTGTGGCTGACAGTCCAAGTCTATCTCGAGACTCTGCTAAATTATAGACTATTATTAGAAATTCAAAGGGATATTCTGAATTAAAAACCCTTAATATAGGTCTGCTATCATTCGTTTAGTATGACGGGGTTTGGGGGTTGATCCGCTTAACATATTTAGGTGCTATTCGACTACACTCGTTATCAACATGTCTGTTTTTCTTCTTCCTGTAGTTTTTAGCTTAGAATTACCCTCTTACATTTAGTCTTCAAATATGTTGGAGAAGAGGTAAGTAGCTATTAATAGTTCTATCATTCAAGACTGTCAGGGAAGGATAGTACACGAATGATAGCGACGTACCTGTTCAATGGCATTTCCCCCGAAACAGTGTAACCTATTCCGCTCAGCGATTAATTTGCTAGCTGTGGTTGGCAGAATATTAGTAGACTCATTTACTGTATTCAAGGCGTGCGTTCTGGAGACTAGGCAGAAGGTGTCACACGGTTACACGAGGGCTACGACCACGGGACCTAAGGCAAAGACCCTCACCGACCTCTTGTACTTATAGAGACCTTTGGTCCCTCGAGGCCTTGAGGAATACCAAGGATTCTTGATACCAAAGACTGTTATTAGATGAATAGAGCTATTGCTCCAAGCCCTCACAGAGCCCTTGTCACAACTATCGCAAGGTGTAAATCAAAACTTCCTGCAAAAGCCACTGAAAACAGAACCGGAATTGTTACAAGGCTGGTGTTCAGAGGATATTCCTCCTAACCATACAAAAACAGGCCCGAAACACCACCCTGCGAGACCTCAGGAATTTGGTGGTCAACATCGCATCCTTAGTTCAACAAGAACATACCAGCACAGGGTTTTCCAGAAGGCTCTGCTGCTCTCTTTCTCTCTCTGGAAAACGGACCCAGGCTTCAAAATTAGCGCTGTGCAGTCTCAGCCAAAGCCTGCACCGTACTTCTTAGCAACGTTACATCCGCGCCTTGAATTCTTTCAACCACGCCGTCCTTGGGTATCTTTGTAGATGTGCTGTGCTTGTTACTTTGCACTACAACCGACGTGGGCTCTCCATCTTTAAAAAATAGAAAGGTCGGCATAGCGGTAATCTTGTAGTGCTTAGCAACACCTTTACAATGGTCAACGTTGACTTTGGCAAAAGCGAGCTGTCCCTTCGAAGCATATTCATCGGCCAGCTTTGAAAAATTTGGAGCGATGGCGCGGCAAGGAGGACACCAGTCGGCGTAAAAGTCGACAACGACATAAGTGGTAGATGATAAGAGAGACTTTAGCTCAGAAAGCTCGCTAATTTTACGAACGTTGCTAGACGTTTCTGGAATAGGCGAGCGGTCTTGTAAAAGAATCTATGAAGCGAATACCTGTCAGTGTACTGCATGTCGCGGAAAACGAGTGTTGGCAAAGTGATGAAAGAGAGGCAGATGCATTGTACGCTCTTCCATCGCTCTTCTCATCTGTGCATGCAGCCTATGGTGAGGCAGTAGATTAAAGTGACTTACGGGGCCGAGTATAAGGATTATGACGACAGCCCAGATGATGTATTGTACTGTCTCCATATTTCGGTAGAGTAAAATAAGATGTGCTAGACTTGACGTTACGTTGGGAGATGGTGAGATGTTTGGAAAATACCCAACAATGGGCGTGGCGGTGTCGCGGCGTTTTAATTGCTGTGCCCGACAACAAAGGGACTGGTATCGGAATAAACATTATTCCGGAATTGATTGGGTGCGTGATTTAGTTGAAAACGGCCCAAGGCATCTTAAATCTTGTAAAAATACTGCTATAGTACAATTTGGACACGGCTGTACGGCCTCACGGTTTTGTTGATGCAAAGCTACCACACATATGTCGTATGGTACTCGGTGCTGGCCACAAAAATTTGCGAGGCGCGAAGGAATCGGGCCTGATTTGGTTAGTCAACTTGGACCCGATCCTTGTACTTGACGCTTGGTAAGTTGTGGAAATGTCCGCATGGTCCGAGCAATGGCTCAAGGAGGGCCATGGAGGTATTGCAAGCTCCGCCAAGGTGTCTGGGCAAGATATGTATGCCCCAGCGCATATAGCTAGATATCGTTGCTAGGGATTGTATCCAGCTCAATAATATAATACGAATCGAGAGTTATAATATGTGGGATGATGATATGCGCTAACGGTTTAGCGGGTGTATTGACAACTAACTAGGTGATTCTGGCGAGTGACCAGCGCTGGAGAAGGAAAAGAAAACAAAAGAATAAAAGAAGAGCAACTGTGAGCTCGATTCCGTTAGTCTCGCTAGTTGCTGGAGTCTCTGGCCTGGCGGACCGGGACGAAAGGCGAGAGTGCAAGCGGAGCCGGTTACATATACCAGTTGATGACTTCAAGTAGACATATATGTCATCCCCAAGTCGGTTCTAACTCGTGAAGATATGCTATTTCGGTCCTACCATGGCCGTTATCGAGCAGATACGAGGACACCGAATTAATCCCGGCTCCACAGAACACGGCCACAATTGTCCAGACCGCGCCGCAGTAATTGACTTGCATGCCGACAAGACATGGATCCTAGTAACGGGTTTACTAAGCGTACTTATGCAAAAGACCTCGCACTTGATACTTACGGGCATTTTGAAACACAGGTGCACGAATTGCGCCCAATTTATCTGTTCCTTGCGCCTGCAGAACTATTTCGTGTGGCTATGGAGGCAGCCAGCGGTAGGTTTAATATTGATGTGTTATATTTGAGCTGACAAGGGGGGGGAAAAGCCAGCGTTGAGGGCTTGGCAAGTCGGGGGAGAAGAATACTTAATATGCTTCCTCCTCAACCAACATCTATTTCCGTACACCAGGCCGAACCACTTATTGCATAAAAACCTAGCTGCTGCGGTTGAGCTGTACTTGAGAAGCCCGTAAGCCAATTCTCGTCTTTCCACACACCACTATGATAACCCCTCATGCATTTAGTACGTGGCATCACTTCGGCTTCGTGTGTCTGGGACGGTGTGGTGTTCCACATGTGTCTTCTGGGCTAACAGGCGGGGGGCGAGCAGTGGAAAGGAGCCACAAGCCACGTCAAACTATTGCTATTTCTCCTATTGATTCCTACACAGAAGAGCAGAGCAGTAGCGCTGAGATCACAAGGTCGATCGGTACGATAAATAAGGCAGCGGTTAGGCACAATCCTCGTATCAGCTTACCTGCCATGGCCCTTGTGCAACCCACCCGCTGGGGATGAGGGATGGCACATTCTGGTCGCTGTTCAAGCCGTAGTCCTCCCACAGTGTCTGACGTTGCATCATTTCTGACCAGTCACGTTGTATATCATTGTGAACGAAAGAAATGGTCAACTCGTCAAGCCCTGATCTTATACGCCGACCGCCAGCCGCAACGGACACCGGGATAAGCCTGCAGCCATCGGCGTCTAGCCCCCTCGGGCTTGGCAGTCCTGGATGACTTTCCCCCATCTTGAGTTGCTTCGTGGCGATCGGTCAATGGCATCAGGCAGCGGGTGTGTTGGCTCTTCAGAATTTGATGTGACGAGGCAACCAATCGCTATCGGCTATATTGCTCGGTGAGAGAGAGGTATGGTCCAGACCACTTGTATCCGCAGGAAAGGCTGCAAAGCGAACTGAGCGGCACCTGTGCTTCATTGCTATCGACTAGAAACCCAAAACTGACATGACTTCTCCCCGTCCGTCGGCTATTCCGGCAGTCACCACCTCGCCCCGGCAGAAGCAGCATAGATGCGCCGACTCACACAGATTCACCCCAATGACACGACTCCCGTCCAGGAGACCACTCGAGACCAGATCGATGCAGACTCGACCTCACACAGGGACCTACGTGGTGACGGTGAATTAAGACTCATTCACTCATTCGTGATGATAGTGATCCATCACCATTAACCCTAACCCTAACCCGGGGGAAAACACTTCTTGACACTTCGATGCTGGGTCCGAGTCCGTAACGCGACGACCTGCTTTTCCCCGTCTCATACTTCTCAGAGAGCCTCCCGGTCTCTTAGTTTACATTCATACGCCTTGCTCTATATATGTGTGATGACAGCGGGTCATTAGTTTCATTTTCGACCACTGTTTTACACCACTGCGTTATCTCTCTGGTAGTATTGCGTCTTATAATCCCGAATCCACGACCGACCCAACTACAGTGTGCAGAGATTGTGTCACCGTACTCTCAATACTCTGTTTGCAAGTGTAGTCCACGCAGCTTTCTGCTTACATTCGTCTAGCCCCTGTATGGAATACAGTGCAATTCTGGTCAGGGGATTTCTAAAAATTTATTAATTATCTTTCATAAACCAAGCCCAACAAAGTTTAGAACGCGGAACCGCAGGGGATAATCTCTGGTGCTGTAGGTTCACATCTATTTCTCCTCTGCGAGTATAATAAGTAATGCATCACTTACTAAAACGCATTTACATAAGACCATCCCTGTGGATAGCACGGGCCTCAAGGCGCTGAATAAGAGCGGACCGGTAAAGTTTGTTGAGGTTAAAGACAGCGATCCTGACAACCCAACATACGGAGCCAATCTGGGGGTATTCCATCAACTGCACTGTTTGGTACGTTTCGAAGAGTTGCTGCGTGATGAGCAGGAAATTGATACGGGAAACGCCAACCATACGATACATGACGGAATCTAGTGCGGCAGGCAACTTGGTCTCTTGACAAGTTCGATCCGTCATGGGCCATGTATCCTCAGTCGTTGGTAGAGCCTCTTACTGCCAGAATGCATCTAGACCATTGTCTCGAGGAGCTTCGTATGAGTCTTATGTGCTATGCAGACATTACCCCCGTGCTCACTGAAAATGACAAAGGTGCCTCGCAAGGCAGACTTCAACGTTCATCGGAAGTGTCGGGACTTTGACAAGATTGCAGATTATGTACGACGGCATGGCGTGTCTTTGAAGCCGTTATAGGTCAATAAGACGCATCACTTGTGATGTAACGAAGCACCCTTTTCGCAGAGAATCAAGTAGTAAGCCACCGCGACATCTCATCAGGTATGTGTTGGAATTTCACGGGGATTTGCGAGGGCCATAAATGAGGTGGATTAGCAATACCGTTCGCCACGTGTTGATTGCTTCACATCAATATTCTTGTCTAGCCTGAATTCTATGCCCAACGCCGACCAACTTGACAGCAGTTGCGAAATTGAAATAGAAAGTGACAATATATCTCTTTACAATCCTAATACCTCTGCTGGGTTGGCAGCTGCAATTTCTTCATCATAATCGCCCCGGCGAATAATGCGCCCTTTCCCGAAAGATTCACCTTCCATCCGCTCATTCATCTCTGCTCTAGCTGTAATTAAATGCAGCTCATATGTCAGATACAAGAATGCAAGAGAACTGTTTTTCAACTCGCCAAACAAAGTTGGCTCAACTAGGCTGCTCAATAGCAGCATAATAACAACGTAAGGGCGGGACAGCAGATTCATGTCTGTTGGTGGTCTAATAATACGAACAACGTGGAGCCTAACTGGAAGAAATATCTCTCGACTTGCTTGATATCTACAAGAACTAGAGGGAATTGATGTTATATATGCTAGCAACCTGACCACCTAGAGTAGCATCCACGTAAAATGGAGTTACTGACATGGTGCTGCGGATGCGATGACACACAGTGGCCAGCGGGAGAGGGGGCAGTCCGCGGTGTCCTCCAAATTGCGTACACGACGGGAAAGGGAGTGTTCTTCCTGCAGGTGCTTCCCTGCTCGGGTTCGCGATGACTTCTTGTGCTGGTTGGGAAAGCTCGTGTTCTCGGTCGCGAACATGTACTTGACACGACTTGCAGCCAACGTGCTTGACTTTATGCAGCTTACTACACATGTACAGGAAGCCCACTGTCAAGGACTTAACGGAGACTCACCGGCCATTGAGTCAATGGCGTGGATGCTACAGTAATGACCCTCCACCACTTGCCCAGCTCGTTGATAGATGCCTGATCCGCTGTTACACAGGTTTCTCGTATCGGGAACCCGGCAGGCCCCTTGCCATTCCCCCAGCGTCCGGCCTACCAAGTCACAATGCCGACACAATCGTGGCTCACTGTTGAGGACTGACACCGTTGTCATTGCTACAATTTTCCGGTGGCATGTGAAACGTTTGAACCGCCCATACACAGCCTTGCCCACACTGGACCGCCTGAGCCTTTTCTTTCCCCAGTTGCAGATGTTAGCGTCTACTATTGATACGTCTTATTAAACCTAACCGAACGTCGTTGAAGAAGTTGACGTGGTTGTTGTGGAGCTCAACAGCTCCTAGGCTTCTCTGCTGGCTTCATCTTGACTACCCATCACACCACTGGCTCTTGTGTTATCTCACAGCAGAAATTGTTACCAATTTGACTAGTATTCACTCTGAAACAAGGGCAAGGAGGGACGAGTCAGTCGCCGTCATTCAGAGAAGACGTGTCTGATGTGGTGTTTGCAACTCCCCTCTTCTGGCCCTCGCAAATGCAATTCAACAGGGTGTTGGACTCTCATCGTTCCATTCGGTAAAATCTCTAGTGAAATTCTACAGTGATGTTCACCCTGTGTAAGCATTAACCTGAGATGATGCGCGGCAATGTCTTACGGGTCAGACTCAATTAGAGGACGTGAGAACAGACGCAAGTTCATTGTATAAAAAGTACTTCACTACCACAATGCCCCAGAAGATACCAGGTCGGATTCTACGTTTTAGATTCTCAATTGAGAATCACTAGTCAAAAGTTCGTGTGGTGGTCCAGTTCTCACGACTCTACCACGATCAAGTACCACGATGGTGTCAAAGTCGCGTATAGTATCAAGCCGATGAACAACAGAAAATACGGTGTGCTCTTTGAACTCGTCTTCGAGAGCTCGAACCATGACTTGCGCAGTGTGCGCGTCAACCGAGCTCATAGCTTCGTCCAGAATGACTATTCGCCCGACATGCTTCCGCAGGATGGCCCTAGCCAGGCAAACCAGTTGCTTTTGTCCGTGTGAGAGGGACAGGTCTTCAATGTCGGTGTCTAATCCACCATGCAAAGATATGGCGGCCCAAAGCTCCAGTTTATCCAATACCGAAATGGTGTACTCGTCCAAGACTTCTTCGCCGCCTCGTAATCTCCCGTCCTCGGGTTCAGTAACGAAATTGGATCGCAAGCTTCCTTCAAAGAGAACGGGTTCTTGCGGAACAGCTATAAGTTGAGATCGTAGCACTTCACGAGGCATCGCTGTAATATCAGTACCGTCCACTTCGATCGTACCCGAGTAATCTAGCAGTCGAAACAAGGTCGATACCAGGGTAGATTTTCCACTTCCGGTTTTGCCGCAGATAGCTACTTTTTCGCCAGCGTGAAAGCGCAGGGAGATATCTTCAAGTACGGGTGGCCCTTGTTGGGCCGTTGAATAGCTGGCCGTCACGTTTCGCAGTTCAACTTGACCATTTGGGGGCCAAGGCTTAGCGGGACGTCTTCCAGTCGCGTCATCATTCACCGTTTCTAATGGTGTCGTCATCTCGAAAGCTCGAAGGCGTGCAATGGCACCTAAAGATGTTTCTAGCGATGTCCACGACGAAATCAGATCAGCAAGGCCAGAGTTGAAGCCAATTACGTTGAGCATTGCAAGACCAATGCTTCCAGCGCTGGACGCTCCAGTGAAAACTGCCAGAGCGACAAGAATGACAGCGGAAGCCGCCACGAATAAATCTAGCACCAACGTGAGCCACCGCTGAATCGAGTACAATAGGTAATGCGGACGTTGCGATCGGTCTAGAAGATCTAATATCGAATCTTGCATTATAGTCCGCCATTTGAATGCCCTTATGGTTGGTAGGCCCTGGATGGTTTCAAGCAGTTGTTTTATGATGGGTGCCTTTGCTTGTAAATCCAGTAGTCGAAGTTGACGAGACGTGCGAAGATAAAATGTCTGAAGAGCGTACAGCGTAATTAATGCTACGGGTACGATGGCAGCAATGTACTTGGCGCCCATGAGGATAAGTATTGCGTCGCCAATACATCCCAGTAGTCCTATGTTGCCAAGTTAGATCCAGAAAACTAAAGAAAAGAAGCCGGTACATCCCTCACCCCCAACTGTTGTATACATTGCCATTGGCAAGTCTTTATCCACAAGCGACATGTCTTGAGTGAATCTGGTAACATATTAGTCCACAGAGCGGTTGCAAACGCAAATAGCCACATATACCTATTCATTATATCGCCAGAATCCATAGACACAAATAGCGATAACGGGGCTCTAGTCCATAATTTGGTCAACAAATAAACCATTAAATTCTTAGAATATACCATAGGATTGCACACCTTAATACCGTACTTAGTAAGGTCCAGTGCAGGACCTGTGCAGATTTTGGGATTATTTTGACGAACATAACCCTGCAACTCCTGTCAGATTTTCCGCTGATGACGAGGCGAAACTACCTACCAGCATTCAAATCCAATGAGAACGGGGCACATAGCTAGGAAGAAGGCATAAACGCCGAAATATTTGCCTGTATCAACATGGCTCCCAGAAGAGTTCGCCTCACCCCACCACTTCAGCCATATCTCTGCACAGACGCTTAGCAAAATGATATTATCATTGGAGCGAGAGAATTTCCAGTTACTTACGAGGAAAGACTTGGAAGAATTGCTGAAGAATTCCAATCGCCAGTCCAGTAATGCCAAGTGCCCAACCAATTGATCGAAAATAGTAGATATATAACGCTGGATCCCCAGACTTCCTCATCAAATCCTCCATTTCGTTTTCGTCAGCAACCGATGCAAGACCGTCAGTAGCTGCCGACTTGTAGTCGTCACCATCTGCACCTTTGACGTTTGAGGAGCGAGCATCCGTTGTTTTAGTCAATTGGCCATTGTCTATCAGCTGATGATAAGTGCCTTGAGCTTTAACTCGACCATTGTCTAGCATGACTATCTTGTCTGCATTCGGAAGAAAATTCACTAGGTTATTAGCAAACATTGTTAGTATAAGACGACTGTTATCTGCTCTCTACGTGAGGGGCTGATTGATCGCACAGTCATGAGTGGCAAGTATAACGGTAACTTTTCCTTGCTTAGCAAGCCCAGAGGAGCCGAAGACATGCGTCCAGACATAAGCGCGAGTTTCTGCATCGAGGCTGGAGAGGATGTCGTCAACAAAGACTATCCTTTTTCTGGAATATAAGGCGCGAGCCAGTGACTATACTTTCGTCAGCGTCCGCACGTTCCGTATAGCACAACATTCACCTACAACTCTGTGGCGTTGGCCTCCACTGAGCGTAATTCCATTACTTCCGATAGAAGACTGATCTCCGTTGGGCATCTGCGCAAAGTCCTTGTCCAGCGCACAGGCCCGAACAGCAGTCCTATACCATAGCTCATCAATCTCATCAGTGTTTGGACCAACAATATTCTCCTTGATGCTTCCGTGTGTGAGCCACGCTGACTGCGAACAGTACCCAGCTCCACTGATATGTCTAGAGACGAACCCAGTCGCGTGAAGTTCGCCGAGTAAGCCCAACAGAAGCATACTTTTGCCGGAGCCAACCTTGCCAGTAACAATCGTAAGAGAGGCCGGCTCGACATTCAGAGTAATTTCGTATAGGATAGGTGCGTCTCCTTGTTTTGGTGCGAACGAAGCACCATCCGCCAGGGAAATAGATCTACCTGGTTCGTACAAGCTGCACTGCTCTGCTAGTTCAATATTCGTGCTATCTGCAGATGGTATCACGTCATGTCCCTCGCCAACGGACACCATGTTCCCGTCCGCATCATGGGTAGCCTCAAGAAACTCTTGAATTCTCTCAAAGCAGCCAAGGGAGCTCAGAAAAGAGGGCATCTCAGACAAAAGTCGGGAGAGTGGTGCGATGATCAGTCCCATGATGGAACGAGCGGTGAACACAGTTGCAATTGAGAGCCTCTGGTTGGTGCCACTTTTGGAGACGGCAATAGCGATGCCAAATGTGAGTATAGGAGCCAATGCGGACGGGGTATTGCCTGTACAATAGTAAGATTACGAAAATGTTGTTGAAAACATGGGAAGAAGCACCTAGAACGTTCATGTAGGTGATGAACAAGCGGAAAGATTTAGAGCTCTTGAGCTCTATAACTCTTAGAACTTGTATGTCAGCCAGCCACTTATTTGACATGCCAAGCATTTTGACCTCCTTGATAGATCTGATGACCTTTGACGTGGTTGACACTCGATTTTGTATAGCGTTGTTCCACGCTTTCATTGCCGGGCCAATGTATTTCGATAATTGGCTCATGGCCAGTGTGCAAACTGCTCACATAGTCAACGACAGTTTCATTCATCGTGATGAGTCAAGCTTTACCGATGACAGACACCGCTGGCCCGATGCACCCAGGGCCTAACTCGCGCTCCAAAAGGTATATGGCAAAGCCAATCTCAATTGGATTAGCCCACAGTTCGTGGAAGACGTGGAATGATGCACAGATTGCGTTTACATCCGGGCCCGTGAGCGTAAGAACAGCTGGTCCAGAGGATTGAGTAGTCGTGCCAGTGAGAGTCAGGCTCTGGACAGATATGACAGAAATCAATGCGCCTCTAATCATAGTAATGGTGCGAAATAGCTGGTGTTGATAAAATCCCGTGGATAACTATGTTTCTCGTCAGCAGAAGGGTCACGAAGCCAGTAGGTGCAAACGTACAGCAGATCCGACAAATGTCAAACCTGTAGCGAGAACTAACGCCCATGCAACACCCGGCATGTGTCCTTGACGTTCTCCCTCAGAGGATGCATCTTGTACGAATAGAATGACTCTTTTCATGAGATATGGCTGTGCAAATTTGAAGCCTATCAATGCAATCCGAGGCAGAATGGTTAGTAAAAGAGGCCATTTCAGAGCTTTGAACACAGAAAATAAGAGGCGGTGGCGGTGGAGGTTGCCCCTTTCTCCTGACTGCCACGCAAGAACAAGTTTGCGCTCGAGAGTTCTTGAGCGAAGCTCTTCATCAGTGTCCCACAGACTATCAAGGGACAAAGTAGCCCGGAATCCCCGGATCAACAATGAGTTTAGCCACCAAAAGAACCCCCGATTTACTATACCGCTTGTGGCCTCTGGAGGGAGTTCCCTCCACGCGCCGCGAAGGCTACGCCTCTTACTCTGAAGTTCTAAGATGAGCAGTACGACTTTTGTCGCCAATGCGGCCGTGAAGAAGGCCGCAATTTGATGGGAAAACCCTTCTAACAGCCATAGCGTACGGCACTGGGCAATGTCAAATAGCGTCGAGAAGACCAAGTAAATAGAGATAATGCTCGATGGTCGAATGGACCGGTTGTGCTCTAGGTAACTTAAGCCGCATAAAGTCGCCCCATTAATGAATCCCAGCGAAGTTGCAGCAGTGGCAACGTGATTCGGATATGGACCACGATAATGAGCCCATGTAACAAGGAGCGCGAGCTGCAAAGTCGTATATGAAACGGAAACAACCTTGATCCGATTTAGAAAAAAATTAGCTCTGGTTGTGTGCTCTGGTCAAACGATGCCAGTGAATGGGAACGAGCAAGTTGGTCTCAGTGATAGCTCATACAAATTTGATGCCTAGTAGGAGATTTGCCTCAACCTTGCGGTTCTCGTAGTACAGTTGCACTATTCGCGGCGTTGCAAAAATCAGAAGCAATACACTTGGCGCTATGGCAAGAATGGCTTGATCAAAGAGAAGAGAGAAGTCAAAACGGTTGATGTCACAATCTGACGCAGCCGGCCACAAGACTGAATCGCAGACACGTCCATGTACAGCAGCAACGTGGGCGTCGGAGGCGTTTATATCCATCGTAAGCTAACACTCTGGAAAGATGAGCAGAGGCATTCGCTGCGGCTAGATTTCAGAGCCACAAGACGATGTTCGTCACTCGCGCCAAGGTCGTTCTGCTGTGGCCAAAGAAGTGAGGGAAGTCAAGATTCTGGATCGCCTGCAACTGCGGTCGAAGATGATTGTTGACTGCAGATGCACTAATTACCCAGGTAGGCAGGAGGTTATGCATGGGAGTCTTGCTATTGGTGGCAGTACAAAGCTGCGACCCACTTCTTTCCGCAAAGATACCCGCGTATGCGCTGATGGACTGACAATTGGAATAAGCACCGCGGGCTGAGGCGGAGTTTTGGTACCTGATTCTTTGAAGTGAGGGCAGGGCCGGAACGGGCATGGTAATTACCTAGGTAGTAGGTCTTGTTGCCCCAAGAGCAAACCAACTCATAATGCAACACCAGACGGAATTGGCAGTCAGCCGTATGCCCCACCTCTGCCGGAACGAATAAACGACCAAATTCTTACTTCGCTGGCCTCGGTTCGTTTAACACTGCGTCTCGTCTCAACAAGGGCTTGGCTGCCGAATTAAAAAGCGCTGATTCACCTGAAGCTTTGTATTCAGGCGTGACAGATCATCAGCTGCGCATCGTGATACCGAGACCGCCATATACCCGAGCAAGCTCCGGATATATGGGCGCACGATACCCTATAGTAACCAAATAATTTATAATCGATTCACAGTTTCACCCGTGCTTCCTTTGTATTGTTACTTTCTTGACACGTAACTATCAGAAAATTAGCCTGTAATACACCCAATCCTCTAACAAGTGCGTATTAGGGTTGATTCTGCGCCAATAAGAAATTCTGCAGCTACTACGGAAGCCGAATATTGCGCCCTCGTGTAAGCTCCTGAATCCCGCCCGGAAGGCATCACCTTTTGGTTCAGCCGCGGATTTTGGTAGAGCTTCCTTCACACCTGGCAGATCACACTCATTGGCCGCCTACAGAAACGACCATCGCAAAGCCCTCAACAGTTCCTTGACTTATGACAATAGTGATCCGCCATACCGAACTAGTTTATGAACAGCTAGTCATAGATACACTTGAATCACTAGTCTTCCACTTCGAACGGCGGTTGTAGTCATGGCAATATTTAGCTTCCGACCGGCATATTTACCTGGCAATGAAGCCTTTCAAAACCTTCAAATATGTGCGGATCAAGCTTTTTGTCACACGGACACACGGGGGCTACGATCAAGGGGCCTAGGGCAGAAGGCTCTCACCGCTGCTTGTATAAATTGAGCTCTTTACAACTAGTCCTCGGGGAAAACCAAGGACATTTAATATCAAACACTGTTATTAGATGAATTGAGCTATTGTCTCCAAGGCTTCACTGAGCCCTTGTCAGTGGTTCCAACAACAACATCGTATCGACGGCTTGTTTCCATGGATTGCGGTCCAAGACTGTGCAATCCTGTTACGGCCTTTGATTTCGAGGCTCTGCATGATGAGAGAATCAGCAGAACAGTTTGACCCTACCAATGAAAGATGGGCCACCATGTCATGTAAGGAACAGAAGTTGCACGACCTAAACAAAGAGTAATTATAGGGAGCTGGAGCTACCCTGGAAATATGGATTCCCGACACGGACAAAGTGCTTAAAGCCGCTGATAATGCCAAGTATCAGATGTAACAATAACCCAGGCTTTCCTATACCTGCTGCAACTAGCTCGCTATCAAACCATCCCAAGCAACGACACGTTTGAGTCCGTGATATAACCTTGCTGCCTTTGCTATTCTTGGGCTCCCCATTACTGCCTCGCTTATTGAATAAATTTGCATTCGGCGAAATTTTTAATATGAAGCGCGATTAGGACCGTTCATGTTGAGATGCGCCTTAGCACTCGGGTGTTCTAGGTATATAGCTATAAAAACGGAGTAGCGGAGTATCATTTTGATAGGTGTATCGGCTATTCCATCCCCAGGACTTCTACATTTCGGTGCATGAAGTTGAACTGGGCCACTACTTTGGCGAGTTCGTCGCTGCGAGCAAGGAAATAGGGGTAAGCCTATACCCTTCATGACGCTGTCGCGCGAGATCAACTCCACGTCTTCCTACCGCACAATTTTGGGTCACTATATTGTGCGATAACCTGCTCAGAAGCCTGTTGGCAGCTTCTATCTTGCCACTTTTCGCGGGGTTGGTGAATGTTTCTCTGCCCATATACCTTCCGTGCAGGAAACCATGGATGGGAAAGTAGATCCAAGAACATGGCGACATGCTTAGCAAAGGCCCAAGGAAAATGTGATTTAGCGAGTAAAAAACATGTTAAAAACATGTAATAAGATAGCACCTGCTACATTAAGACATGTCGAAATGACAATATGTCAAAAAGATGCTCCGAACTTCGTTCGAACCTGTGCACACATGCACCATAATGCCTTGGCGGGGCACGGCCTTAACCGCTCGGCCCAACTTGCATCAGCGTATATATTGCTTATATAAGCCGATGCTAGTAGTAATCACGACTCACGAGTCTGGAAGTTGTTGAATTCAGGTCAACGCCGGCACCGGCATCTCCAAAAAGGCCCGCCTGCCCGCAACCACTTTAAGCTCAAGTGCACCACCCACCATGACTTAGCGCAGCCATTCTTACCTGCATTACATATACATTGCTCCCGTTCGCCCGCCCGCCCGTTGGTGGCCTGTCACCATCTCTTCCCCCTCATTGTTGTCTCGCTGTCTGGTCTTTGTTTTGCGTCGTTGCGTCGTTGCGTCGTTGCGTAATCACACTAGGTCTCTGTCCCCTCTTCCCCCAACGAAAACGACCCAACGGTATTCCTCACCAGTTTGCGCAGCGGCGTCGCGCGCCAGACTCTTGCGGTTTCCAATTCGCCCGGCCGCCCGACTGCGTATTCAATCGTCGAATCTATCAATCGGCCCCCCCATAGAATGCAACTTAGAAGAGCAGCTAGAGTTATTCTTGTAGGCGCTCCTGGCGTCGGCAAGGGCACCCAGAGCGAACGATTGTTGGGGCGATTCCCCCAGCTCGCCTCCATCAGCACCGGTGATTTGCTTCGCAGCAATGTCCAGAACAGGACGCCTCTCGGTAAGCAAGGCCTAGCATACTTCAAAACAACCCAAGCGCTCGCATTAACATGTGCACAGGCATCAAGGCCGAGAGCACCATCAAGGCCGGCGGCCTCGTCGCCGACGACTTGATGCTACGCCTCATATCCAGTGAGCTCCGGAACCGCGGCTGGCTGCAGAGCCACGGACCTCCCGAGGTCATGACGCTCTCGTCCGAGGCCACCACCGCCGCTGAGATGCGGACTCCCGACAGCATGGCATTCGGCGCCTTTGCCGCCGGCCGTCCGCTCTCGCCCGCGCAAGCCTCCGAGGACCCCAAGGCGTCCTTCATCCTCGACGGGTACCCCCGCAATGCCGCGCAAGCCAGCAGTCTCGAGGGCATCGTCCCCATCAACCTGGCGGTTTCGCTCAAAACCCCCTTCGAGGTCATCCTCGATCGCATCGCCGGCCGCTGGGTCCACGAGCCCTCCGGCAGAGTCTACAACACCACCTTCAACGCCCCCAAGGTCCCCGGCCGCGACGACGTCACCGGCGAGCCCCTGACACAGCGGGCCGACGACACGGAGGAGGTCTACCGCGCGCGGTTCCAAAAGTTCCAGGAAACCAGCGAGCCCCTGCTCGAACACTACGCTAAGAAGGGCGTCCTCGTCGAGGTCGAGGGCATGAGCAGCGACGAGATCAGCCCCAAGCTGTACGAAGTCTTTGAACAGCGCTTCGTCATGTAGACGCCCCCACTATATTCACCATGTATCAAAGCGGAGACGCCTATGAAGTTTTTCCCCCCCCCCCCCCCGAGTTGTTTTCTACTAGCTACGTTTAATGTTTGCGAGGCGAGGAATTGTGATCGCCAGTTTTCTATCTATTTTCTGAGCGGCGTAAGCGGGCTCCAAGTGCCCTGCTAGCCTACATGATGGGCAGTTTCATGTTGTATTTTCCTTCTTTTTTTTTTAGGCCCTGGCGGACGGAAACGATTTCTACGGTTTTGCAAGAGCTGCAGCCATACGGAGACGCAATGGTGGATGGGGAATTACCGAGGGAAACTAGCTCGGTTGGAGTATTGATCGGGCACCATGTACATACGAGTTGAATCTCTAATCAGACCTCGGGTCTTTGAGGAACTTTTGCCGGTTTGTGATGTGTTGCTCGCTTTCACATGATTCATGAAGTGACCCGATTTTGCTCCACACATGCATGGCGGGAAGATCCGGGGAATGCTGTTCCCAACTTGGGGTATCTTGTCAGAAGACACACTCTCCTCAACTTGACACGCAGTGCCTAATTATACATGTAAACACATGGCGTGTGAATATAATGTAGCTTGACAAAATGTCGAGCTTGGATATGGAGGCGGTTGCAAGCAGTTGTGTCAGCTACTTAAGTACTCAACTAATTCCACAACTACCCCGGTACCTACAAAAGACCCCATTTCGCCTAGAGCTAAATCATATATTCGTGCAGACTTTGAATCCTCGAAAAAATGACCTGAAATTGTTGGAAAAGAATTTATTGGCAGCCGCGACGCCGGTGAATTCGTTAATCTCGCCATTCGTCACCGCTGCGCATGCCGCTGGGCATATTACCCCCGTTGCTCCCCTTCGATGATCCAGCCGCGGGATGAGCCTCATCCTCGTCATCATCCAGAGCCTTTGCTAGCTCATCCGGATCGTGCATTTTGGCATCCGGATCAACATGGCCCCCATCCAAGCCCCCTTCTTCGCCGTCGTGGTGGCGGTCCGCATCGAATACACCCTCGTCCGCACTGACGGAGATGCCCCGTGCTCCCCAGCCGGGTCGAGCGGCCCGTCGAGCTCCGTTTCCTTCGCCGCCCAGTGCGGGAGTGCTCTCTTCATCATCGACGGATTCCACGTGCTTACCAAAGATACGGCGGAGCAGCCAGCCGCGGCGCATGTCGTCTGCGTCGACGATGCCGCCGCCGCGAAGCTTGACGCGCTGCCGGGTGTAGTATACCCATGCGAAGTCGACGTAGAGCGCTGTCTGGATGATGCCGAAGATGACGGCTACTGCCTCGGGCTTTCGGCCGGTTGTGTCGAACTCGCGGACGAACCAGTTGAGGATGTACAGGGCCCTGTAGGACCCGAGGGCAAGGAGGTAGAAGGAGTTGATGACCGTTGGGACCGTGGTCTGCCGTAGGAGGAGAAGCTGGGGCAGAATACAGCCTGCTTCAAGAATCTCGGAAAACACCCACATCCACTGCATTGTACATGCTTTAGCAATCTCCATATGTGATAGCGCGCAGGGGATATGCACGAACCGTTATAAAACCCCACTGGTCGTAGAAAATCATCATCATGAAGGGCGACAGGACTGTAGCAGCGACAAGTACGCCTCCGCCTAGCTTCCAAGAGAGCTCACGCTCCCTCGAACGCGGGTACACCCACTGCATTATCCCGATGGTGTAAAAGGATGACGAAATGTAGACAATCTTGAACAGCAGGTTCCATAATATAGTTGTTCGAAAGATGTCGAGGTATCTGGTACAGAATACGAGGGCATACAGGACCTGTGTGATCAGGGAGACGCCTTCGGCGCTGCGGTTTGAGTGTATTGCGAATATGAGAATAACCTTTGATGCAAGATGGGATAAATCTCCCAAGATTCGAAAGACCTGGTGTGCATCAATCGCTCTGGTCAGTGCTCGCCGAGAGAGAGGTTAAGAAGGGCATGGGACAGGGTGGCGGCAAGCTAGCTTACGTTCCAATTCACCATGGCTGCGGCTTCGAGCGAGGTGCTCGTCGGATTAGTTGGACTCAATCAGCAGAAAGAGGAGGGGAGACAGCGACGGTAGGGTGGCCCGGATAATAGAAGAGCAGGCAAACTAGGGCACAAGAACGTGTGAAGCAAGGTGACACGCAAGGTGTTGATGGTTTGAGGATGACTAGTCGTGTCGCAAGCTATCGAAGTGAGGACACCTGAGCTCGGGTTGTGACAGTTGATTGGGTTGAGCTGGTGGAGCTGCCTGGCCGCGAACGAAAGTACCGAGTGGACGATTGCGGCGACAGTTGACATTGGCATCTTGACGTGGCTGGGAGGCGGCCCAGGCCGTACGGAGTACTTGGTACGTCTGGTAGCGTGCGCGGGTTTCCAGACGTCTTCAACTTATCTGGATACTTCGTGGCTGGCCAAGACGAGGCAATGCAAGCTTCGCACGTTCAAGAAAGTGTGTAAACGAAGAAGCCGTTCGTAGAATACTACTGCCATGCCCGCGCATCAATCAGCCACCCCACCTCCGGAGTAGGCAATCAATGTGTAACAAAGCTGTGTCGTCCTGCTACTCGATGACGCGGAGCATGATCGACAGCCGCCAGCCAGCTGGTTATCCGTGGAGAAGATGGGCAGCATGCAAACCCCCTTGACACACGGCACATGTCCTCCTTTGTTTCTTTCAATGTGGATGGCGTCGGTTCGTTAAAGTCGACATACTCTTTGATTTTCGCTTTCGAGGGATTGCTCTACTAAAGCTTCTCTTCCAGTGTCTGATGGGCCTGCTGTCTGATTCGTGCTACAAAGGCGGGCGGCATAGAACCTTGCGTCGTCGCGAGCACGATATTGGATGACGGCCATTTCTTCTTTGTAAAGGTCTACTACAGACGAGCATCGGAGACAATAACTGACACAAAGAAACGTCAACCATGCACTACGTGCGAGTGCTCGTATGGCTGGTCGTAGGCTTCACCACGGCTGCGCCTGTTCATGGCTTCGCCGATGGTCTCGCTGACCAGAAGGCCGTCTCGCATGGTGATCAATCCTTCCGCGGTTCCAAATCCGACAGTAAGCAACCTCTCCAAACTTTCTATCGCCGGGCACATTGCCCAAGGGTGGCTAACCATACTCTAGCATCCGAAACGTAAGCAACACCCCAAGCAGGTCCATGTTGCATCTGCTTCCCAACCTGTTTACTCACCAACGCGCAGACATCATGACGCAGACTTCGCTTACGACTCACGATACACGAAGAAGTTGCTCGATAAAAGCGCTCATCGCGACGCCGCTCGCACCCTCATCCAGTCATACCTCATCACATGTCGCGAACTCCAGGTGCAAACTTGGCTTACGAACGGGAGTCTCTTAGGATGGTGGTGGGGAAAGAAGGTAGACAAAAACAATGTCAACCATTTCCCATTTCATCCCGCTGACACATTCCAGATGTTGCCATGGGAATACTCCAGCAATGTTCAAATTACCGAGTCTGATCTCCATTTCTTGGCGGCCTACCACAATGCATCCATTCACTTCTACAAACGGAAAGCCATGCCGAAAGGAAAGACCTTTCTGCTCGAAATAAGTCCAGATTTCATGAACAGGGCGCAAACAGGCGCTACGGATGTGATTGATGCTCGCTGGACTGATCTTGACAGTGGGCTGTATCTGAACATTACGGCAGTGCGATATAGTCCTGACCATCCGAGCGGCGAAGGGGTGCTTTATACAAAGAACGGCCAACAATTTCACGTAAGCGGAGCCGTAAATGTACCAGGGACGGTCGAACGTTGACTAACGGCGAGTAGGACACCTTGTTGTACCCGTTGAGAGACACAACGTTCGAAGGAGTGCCGGTCAAAATCCCGTATCGGTATAAGGAACTGCTAGCTGAGAGATATGGTGAGGGGGCCTTGGAAAACACGCACTATAATGGGTAAGTTGATCAAAACCTCTTCCAATGGCTTCATCATCGCCGGGCTGATAATTGTAGACACAAGTTCGATAAGCCTGGGATGCAATGGGTAATGCAAGGATGAGTTACAAGGAAAGCATGTAATGGCAGGCAGCATCGATCTGCCATAGTGTAGCGAAATTATAATGTTGCAGAGAAGAATGAATGAAGATTCCAAAAGGGATCAATGTTGAATGACAGTGATTAATTGGTGCATGGTTCTTCAGCATTGTGGGGTGCGAACCAAGATTAAAAACCCGGTGCCTGCAGACAAGCTTAAGCCGCCATGCCCCGCGACGTCACTGTCAATGGATCTGGACGCGTCTGACTCAACCACATTCGCGTCTGCGACCACCAAGCCCGATCATCGCCACAACCACGCACCGTTGCGTGCGCTCACGATGGGTCCCGACAAACATTCACAGGCACGGTATACTATTTTTCACATGTAAAAACACATTTATACGTCTCCCGGAATGGCAACAGGTAAGCCTGCCGCAGCGCATTGCGGATCTTCATGACTACGTGGTGACCGAGCAAAACAGGAAGGGAGCGTCGCGAAGGGAAGCTCAACGAGCGGCTCCGTGGTGCCGGGTACGTAAATCATACTGAAATCCCGCCTGCAACATGTTCCAGCTGATACCTCTCCAGGCGAGCAAACATCGGCGACAACGATACGTTCAACCTCGACATCCCCAGCATCGCCACCGGACCAGCCGTCCAAAGTTCGAGCTCACCAGGCTCGCTACCCTCGCACCCCGCTGCTCAATCAAGTCTTCCAACCAGGACAACTAGTAACGCACCGGACACCCGAGAGGAGACAGAATCGCCGTATCAGCCTGCCGGAGGCGCAGATGTTCCAGGCCCTCGCAGCTCAAGCGCACCGGTATCAGCACCGTCCGAACGCGATGACCCTGAACCGGATGAACCAGAGCCCGTGCAGCCCCCGTCAAGCGCCGGGTTTCGGGGAGCACCTCGAGTGGTCAGAAACATCACAGAAGAGATTACGGAAAGTCCAGCCGGAAAACCTGGGAGCGGTCACAGGCAGCGCATCAATGAAGCAGTCAACATCGGCGGGGCATCGACGGGACGCACACCGGACATAAGTGATGAGGACGACACACAAACGCAGCCATCATCGCCACTCGCAAACAAGAAACGGACGAGCAATGTCTCACGACCATCAATTCCAGCAGTGCCCGAAGAATCAGAAGAGGAGAGGGGGGAGGAACCAAGCAATGAAGGTCGCATTCGTCCACCACAACGACCGGAAATGGCGAGGAAGGAGGCGGTGGTCGTGGAAGAAGAGGAGGAGGAGGAGGAGGAGGAGCCTGAAGAATCAGATCACTCCGATGAAGAAGCTGTAGAGATTGACGATCGAAGGGCAGCTCAATCCATCGGTGCAAAGCGCCCTAGGCCTAACAAAACACGGTCTCCAGAACTAGGTTCGGAGGAATCCGAAGACAGTCAGCCCGAGGAACCGGTGCAAAAGAGGCACCGCAGAAGCCCAGCAACCCAGAGGCAGCCTGCGAAGCGACCCAAGCCACAGGCAAAGAAGAAACGCCATAGTTCAGGAAGTGATCGAGACGATGACGCAGCGATTGAAATTACTGTCCAACGATTTGTCAACAATTTTGCCCAAGCCGCTGATGACGAAGATGAACTACAGCAGGAGATTCCATTTGCAAACCGTGGTGGAGAGACAGTAGTAGATGTTTTCTCACAGGTCTGCGAAGAAGTGATTTCTTCGACTTTGGAAAACCTCCAGAAGATGTTGCGGTCTTCTGATGATTTGGGGAAGAAGAAGGAGCTGAGAGTCAAGATGCGTGCCATCGGGGCGTATCGGGAAGAGCTCAATTCTCGGCTGCTCCAACATGTGAGTACTCGCCATGTTGAATTTGACAGGCTGTTACTGACGAGATTCAAGGCTATTCATTTAAATCACTGGCATTCTTTACGGAGACGTCTTCGTCATGTTCAGAAGGAGAAGTTGGCACTTCGAGATGAAATTATTCGGTTAAAGGGAGAAAGGGAACAAGTGGCGCTTCGGATGGATGCTGTCCGTATCAAACATGAAGCTGACAGCAAAGAATCAACAGTGAGTTGTTGCGTTGCGACTTTGCATTGGTCATGGTCTAATATTTGGTTTTTTTTTCTTAGTCTCGTTTAAATGCGTCCTCTCTCATGCACGACATCGATTTGGCGGTCGAACAAGGTCGAGAAGCCCCAGAACTATCTCGCAAGGCAGAGAAGGAAGCCGATCTGGGCAATCTCGACCTGGTCCTGGCTCAAATATCAGACCAAGTTAGCTCAACGAGCTCAACTGGCGGCCTGCTTCGACAAGTACAAGATTTCAACGCGTTTCTGGAACGAGCAGCCGCAGCACTTGAATCAGGATGAAATCGGTATTTTCAGTTGAAAGAATCTACTTTTCTGACGCTCCACCAAACATGCCATCACAGCCTTCCGCGCCACGGCTTATTGAATCTTGGCCTTGCTGAAGTCCATCTCCGGGTGCTGCTCCTGGAACTTCTTCAAGATGTCCATCTTCTTCTGCTCATCTGACGAAGGCAGCCCCTGTTCCTTCTGACGCTGGTCATACATCATCTTCTCAACCATGCCCCTCGTCTCGCCGTCGAGGTCAGACAGTTTCGAAGAATCAGGCTGGATCTTGGTGACGTCAATGGTAGGGGCAGAAGTGACAACGTGCGCCCACCACTCCATCTTGTTAACCTTGTCGAGGTGGATTTCGACCGTCTTGGTACCGTCGGCGTTTGTGGATAGGGTCCATGTCGAGTCGTCGACGTGAATAGCATGGGGGAGATCGCCCTATGGCAGATCAGTATTCTAAAACTCTTTGCAGTGGATATCCTCTTCTGGACATCGAGCTTGGAGACCTAAACGACTATCTTAGGACCGTTTAATGTACCTTAATGACGGGCTCTTGGCCCTTGATACCCGCAGCCAAACTCTGCTTTTGAATGTCGATGACGAGATCTTTCGACTTCATGTTCCCGGGAACTGTGAAAGTGACGTCGAGTTCGGCAATAGTTTGTTGCCATTTGTAGGGCAAGGCAGCTTGCTCTTCGGCCTCTTTGGCACGGGCAGCTGCCTCTTCAACTGGAGACGGATCTGACGTGTTTGGTCAGCTCAACTTGGATGACGTAAGGGTATATGTCAAGTTTTAAGTGTATGTGATGTAAAAACATCAGGGATAATCACCTTTAACGTCAGCCATTTTCTGTGCTCCCTCAAAAAAAACGTGTTTAGAGCAATGCGCGTTGCGTAGAAGAAGTCAAGTTCGATGTGGGATGAAGTGGCGTGCCCTTTAAAGCGTTGCGATGGCGGGGCAGTAGCTGTCCAGCAAACCCCTACCGCGAGCAGGGGGTGGCGACCGCCGTCATTGGCTGACAAACCTGGCGAGCTAAGACAGAGCTCCCTTCAGCTACAACTTCGCGCACCCGTCATCCCAGATCCGCTGCCCACCATTGAATCACCGGCATCATCGCGCACCTCGCGCTCGGAGGCTTCTATCTCAAGCTCTCAAGCCTCCCGACCACGCCAACATGACGCGAAACGGCACCAGCACCGTCTCAGCGCGCCATGGCGCATCAACTGGCCTTGGTGCCCCCAACGACGAGGACGAGACATGTCCCGTGTGCAAAACGACGCGGTACTTCAACCGGGACATGGAATTCCTCATCAACCCAGAGTGCTACCACCGAATGTGCAAAACGTGTGTCGAGCGAATCTTCAAAGACGGGCCCAACCAATGTCCCTACGCCACATGCCACAAGACCCTCCGGCTACGTGGTTTCAAATCCGCCTTCTTCGCCGACCTGACCGTGGAGCGGGAGGTCGATGTCCGCCGCCGCGTAGCCCAGGTATTCAACAAGGTCGAGGATGACTTTGAATCACTCGACTCGTACAACAAGTACCTAGAATACGTGGAAGACCTGACCTTCAAGCTCGTCAATGGCACGCCCGAGGCCAAAGGCGAAGCAGAAGGCGAGCTGGCCGCGTGGGAAGCGCAGCACAAGGCCGAGATCGAGCGCAACAAGAAACTCGCGCGCGAGTCGGACGAGGCGCGGAAAAAGCGGCTCGCGGCCGAACAAGACGCCGCCAGACAACGGCGCCTGCAGGACCTGCAGCAAGAAGCCGAGGACAAGGCCAGCGCCGCGCGGTTCCGCGAAGAAATGCTCGACTCGCTGCAGAGCGCGGAAGTGGGACACGCCACCGAGACAATGGACAAGATCATGCTCAAGAAGCGAGGGCAGCAGAAGAGGGATTCGGCGAGGGACGCTCTGTCCAGCGCCGCGGGGGGGCTGTCGATTCGCGGGCTGCGGGACAAGACTCGTGGTGCGGCAGAGGACAACAAGCCGTATGATCCGTTTGGGGGCCTGAATCTGGCCCCGACCAGAGTTGATTTGGGACACGACAGGTTACAAGAGTACCACAGCGAGTGGATAGACGTGATGCGCTCCAAGAGCGAGTATCTTGTCGGCGGGTACAGTGCCGACGAGTACATCTCGAGGGCTCTATACGAGTCGTTTTCGGGGCTGGGCGTGTTTATCGCAGAGGACAAGGCAGACAGGGCAGTTGCTACGGCCGTCGCCAGCGAGGCTGCTGTTGCCGGTGGGAAGATGGATACCGACGATGTGTTTTAGAGGACTACGAACCATGCGGGGGGGCTTTTTCTTTCCGGCAGGCGTGAAATGGCGTTTTGGTTGGGTCGGGCTGGCAAAAGGCGTTTTTCGAACACGATGGCTTCACGCCATTCACGACTACAGTCTGTTGCAAAAGATAGACTTGGCTATCATGGGGCATGCACTCATGCAATACAGTGTATAATAGCGTACTCCGTCGAGAGTGCCATATATTGCCACACATTTTGTTCCTCCTTCCACCCCCGTGAGCATGTACTAATTCTATCAAGAACGCGGTGGAAGCAACATTATTTCTGACAACTGCCTAATTGATACAACTTGCCTATTTACTCGACAACATGACAGCCACTACGCTATGAAAATCCGTGCCTCCTCTGTCCCCTATCCAACAACGCCTCGCTGATGCGAATACCAGAATACCTAAGAATAGTCCACGGGGAAGAAGAGCAAATTCGACGATACTGCCAAGGGAAAAAACAGTTGGAACTTGAACGAACATGAGATGCGGCCAACAGCATGTAAGACGGGCTCGTGTCTGCCGGCCAGGGCCAACAGCAAAAGGTCAAGTAGGTCCGATTGATGACCAACACTGGCAAACAACCAAGCTCCGAGCTCGAGTCCAAACAGGTTCCCTCAAATTGACAAAATCTAGCTAGCTCTCAGCGCATAGCGAGTAAAAAAAAAAAAAAAAAAAGAAAAAATTAAAAAAAAAAAAAAAAAAAAAAGAGGTAGAGTCAAAGAATGCGAATTATTGCTGCCAGGGCGTTTGCTGCGCAGGACGAGGGAATACAGGGACAGTGGGGAGTTGATCCAGCCCACCGCCGATACTGGTCTGGTTATGCTGCCACCCCATGCCGGTATTGTGGTTGACGAACGCACCGTGGCGGAAGGGGTTCGTGGTACCTGTGGGTTGGGGACCGAGAGGACCTGGATTTAGAGACTGGTCTGGAGACTGGACTTGTTGCGGTTGTTGTTGCATTTTAGCAAAGGGGTTGGTTCCAGTGGGTTGGGCCTGGATAGGCATTGCGGACTGGAAAGGGGATGTGCTCTGTGGAGGAGACCGAGCAAATGGGTTCGTAGACTGGCGTTGCACTTGGGGTGTTGGACCGGATGAGGAAAATGGCGATGAGTTGACTGGCATGCTGGCCAGTGGCATCATTGATTGCCTGAACGGGTTGGTCGTGGCTGTGGGTGTTGGCTGAAGGGGATTTGGCTGACCGGCTTGCAAGGATTGGGGTTGCTGCTGCTGCTGCTGCTGCTGTTGTTGTTGTCCGTACTGGAAGCCTTGGTTTGGGTTGAGGAATGTGGCCTCTAGATTCTGGGGGATTGGCCCAAGTGCACCGGGTTGAAAGTTTGGCTGCGGTGTGAAGCCTCCGAATCCAGCGCCAGTGAAGTTGGGTTGCAGAGATTGAGGCTGTTGCGGTTGTTGCGGCTGTTGCTGCGGCATGAATCCACCCATATTCTGTTGCTGTTGGAACATGTTGTTGGGTACAAAACCAGTTTGCTGCGGCACAAAGCCGTTTTGAGGGAATGGCATACCCGCGGGCTGCGGCTGGAAGGGGGCTGCAGCAGGCATGATGCCAGTTGGCTGCGGGTTGACCTGCAAAGTTGTCTGCTTTTGCTCAATTGAGTCGAAGAAGTCGATAAGGTCAGGATCCGGGCCCTTGTTGGCTTGTGGCTTGCTGTCGGCATTGGCATCCGGAACAGAAGGGAAGGGGTTATTCAGATTTGGCGAAGATGGCCCGGTAGGTGACTTGGGGAAATCAATCTTGGCCGCTTTAGAAGACACCCCCGTTTTCTTTGCATCCTGCTCAGCCAGATACTGTCGTCGGTGAACCTCAAAATCAGGATCCTTGAGATAATCCTCTAGCTGACGAGCCAAGGTGACTGGGGCGTGCTTGAGCTTGGGGACTTCGACTCTCGTATGGTGTTCATGAATGCGAGCAGCACTGAGATACTGCACAACATAGTCGGTCACTCGCGTGAATGTGCGATAAATTTCCAAAGCTCTCTGGGCATCCGTCTTGGACATCTCAAAGAAGTGTCCTGCATGAAAATATGTGAGCAGGGGTCTTAAGACAATTCGATTTGTTTGTCGGCCCGACGAACCTAATACGTTTATGAGACCCTGATTGAGCACTTGGAACAACGACAACAGGTCCAAGACCAACAACCGGAAGATTGCAATCGTGATTTCATTTTCAGGCTCGGTTTCGAGGACCTAGGCGCAGTTATTAGCAGAGATTAGTGTTGGCGGGCAAATTCGACGTGACATTTGCTCACATCACACTTGACTAGAGCTAACAATTGGTTCTGGACGATCTCAGTCTCACGGAGCAGACCCTTATCAACAGCTAATTTCTCCAGTCGTGAATCATTTTCGCGGACCCAGTCGATCTTGGTGTCGCGAAATGCCCGCGCTCGCTCTGTCAAATAGTTTGCATAATGCCGAATGTTCCGACCTTGAGTTTGAGCTGGAGCGCCAACTTGTCAGCCCAATTCACACTCGGTCTTACTCACGAATGACCAACCATCGGCAAAATGCCCCACGGCTAAAAGGTTACGATGCTTGGCGAGGAACGATAGAGTCGCATTCTGTGAGCCCTCTCGGATCATAATATGCGTGGTGAGCAAGCTCTTGAGCACCACTGTCCATGTTGAGTCGCGCAACCGGTATTGTAATGAACGAAAGACTTCGCCTACGCCAGCGTCGCCCGAGTGCGTGGCCACGAGGATGTGTTCGATATACTTCGTCTTGGGCGGCGCATTCTACAGGTCGCATTGGTCAGCATGGAATGGACTGGTGGTCCTATCGTCTAGTAGCTCGGGTGTCGAGGTGGTCTTGGGGGGGAGGGGTGGTTGGATTTGGGACGCAATTCGCTCGTACTTTGATCTTGGTTGCGCCCTTGACGGACTTTTCGAAAGAGCCCGACATAGTGCAAGTTCTTGTCACCCTATTATTTTCAGGTGAAGTTCCTCGCCACGAAACAAGAGTGAAAAATAAAAATAAAAACAAAAATGCTGATGGCACAGGTGGATGGCGAAAGGAAAAGAATTACGGCTGGATGCACAGGATGAGGTCGGGCTTGGTCTGGCTGCAATGGATCTCGGGTGGAGCGAACTCGCACGGCGGCATGGGATGGACTGGGCTGGGGTCGATGAAGCCGAGTGGGGCCATCCAGACTTGTCCACGCAAAATCTGAAGGCTACGTACTTAATACGGCGTGATGCCCGCAGACCAGTCGAATTGCAGCTGACGGGATACATGTTCAAGCACATAATAAACTGCAATTGCATTGGTGCGACAGGTCGGGCCCCTGAGATGCCGATTCGTCTGCACACAAACTGCTCCAGTAGTCGGGTGCCATACGGTTCACCATCTTGCCCAACCAAACAAAGATGCAAATTGATTCTCAAGACATGCTGTATTACTACGAATGGTTATTCCAGTTCTTAATACAAAACACTGTTGCAGAACTACTGCGAGTTTGTGAACCACGGTAATGCGCATCTTGGCGATGGTTCAAAAGCTGTGGTGATCAACGGCCACTTGGCCGCCAGTCGGATTAAACCAAGCATTTGCCACATCGAGAGCATACAGACTACGCATGTTCATCAACTGACACACATAAAAAGAAAAGAAAAACAACTTCTGTCAAAAATCAATCGCCAAATCATGCGTCCAGCACCCCCGGTATTCCGAACAAAAGAGTAGAAAACACTTCCATTCATAATAAATCAGAGCTGTTTTTCATCGCGTCCGAGATGTAACAAGGTCGGTGTGCCGAACGCCCATTTCAAAATACCAATTCAAGCCTCACCAGCAAACCACTTAAGCCCCTAAGGGAGAGTTTGAAGGGTCAGAAGAAAGGCATCTGCATCATATTACGCACGCTGTTCTCATCATCTGCAAGACATTGTCAGCACGGTAGTCTGCTTGGTCAGACCTGGGAATAGTCGGTGTACATACACTTATTTGAATGGAAGGGTTCATAAGGAGAAAGAAAAAAAGAGAAAAGAGTGTCTGGTGGATGGCGCCGAAATTTAAAGCGGTTGTGGGTCGGTGGGGTCTCGGCGGATTTTCCTGGCAGAACGGATGACGCTGCAGGTTTGGCTGGAGCTTCGAGCTCACCAAGTTCACCATCATCTGATTGTCAGAGTCAAATTGCACCTTGGCTGTGGCTGCACCGCAGCGTCAATTCTGACAATAATGTCCCAGCTGGGTCGCTGCTGGGCTGTATCACGCCGCGGTGCTTGCAATCGCTCCATACTGGCACTAACTTCTCGCAATGGCGCTTTGAGATTCTATGCGCATCAGTCCGCTGCGGCTGGCCCAAGGGCAGGACACCTCAACAAGGAAGAATTGCTTAAGACTTGGAACCAGTGTAGGCTGAGATTTGGTCTATACATTTGTATATATACTAAATGTTCTGATAGTTCGAGGTTCCAATTCATTAACAAAAACCGATCCCGACATCATAAGAGGATTTCTCGGAAAGCGACGCAATGTCGGAAAGCACCTGTCATTCGCGGACCTCACCACATCTTGGGGTGAAGTGATACAAATATGCTCCCATGCCAATGGTGGACAAGAAGCCCACGAGAAATTCCGGCAAGTTCCCGCATTTGCGCCAGTCGTCGTCCACACACAACCAGAGCCGCCGGCACAATCAGCTGGAGAAGAGCAGAATAGTTCCTCGTCTAAGCGAACCCTATATCTGAAGGATATTCGATCATTAAACACGGTTCCAAAAGATCTTATTGTCACGTCTGATGTTCAATTCCCCCAAACAAAACGACACCTGCAAATTCGATTCCACCCTGAGCTCCAAGCCAGACTAAAATTCAGATCTTGGCTAAAGAGTCAGTTAAATCAGAGCTTGTTGGAAAAGCGCTTCACAGATGTTGAGACGCCTACCCTTTTCAAATCTACGTCCGAGGGTGCTCGTGAGTTCTTGGTCCCGACAAGACAAAGAGGTACTGCATATTCACTCAGTCAGAGCCCTCAGCAATACAAACAGGTCCTGATGGCGAGCGGTATTGGTCGGTACATGCAATGGGCAAGGTGCTACCGAGATGAGGATTTACGGACAGATAGACAGCCAGAGTTCTCTCAGGTACGTCCCGCTAATTATCTGCATCATGTGGAAGGCTATGCTCACAAAGGGCTAGCTCGATATGGAATGGGCATTTGCTGGATCCGCCAAAGTTCAGGCCGATATAAATGATATCCTGCTGGCTGCATTGTCACGACTCCGACCAGCTAGAAGTTACAGCGATATCCGTGGGGAGAGAATACCCATCTTATCAGATATACTCAATGAGCCCGCACCGACCGACGAACCGCCTGCTCACAAGTTCACAACCCTCACCTTCGCCGAGAGTATCGCCGCATATGGCTCCGACAAGCCAGACTTGCGAATTCCCAACAAAGTACGCCTAAACTATTACTGTCCATCAAACCTGTCAAGCTAATATGTTGCAGATACATGCGTTAGAAGATACCGAGCCTTATCGCGACTTTATCAGCATGATTACACATCTTTCCGATCCTCTTATTGAAGCATTCACCTTTCCACTGAAAGACTGTTCACCATCCGACGCCCGTAAATTTGTCATTAAATTTATGGACAATCTCCCACCCGCATTAGCCAACAACCCCGATGGCAAACCACAAATACTCATTCATGACTCCCGACAACCCTTGTGTGGCTTCTCCTCTCTAGGTTTCGAGTATGAAAGCGTCCTGGACAAACTCTCCCAAGGCCAAGGAATCAATGATGGCGATTTGGTGGTTTTCCAAGCCCGCGAAAAGCCCCCGGGTCAATACTGCCTGGGATCCACCAAAATCGGCGACATACGAAAAGCCCTCTGGACAGGTCTGGTGGAGGAAGGCTACATGGAAAAACCAAAGCTTGGAGATCCCGAGTCACTGCAATTTGTATGGGTCACGGAATTCCCCATGTTCAAGCCCGTTGAAGAAGGGGAACCCGGCCAGGGTGGCGCGGCTGGAATTTCCGCAGCCCATCATCCATTTACGGCACCACTGTCAGAGAAGGACCTCGAAATCCTCTTCACCGATCCATTGCAAGCTCGGAGTGCCGCCTATGACCTCGTTCTAAACGGTATCGAGATTGGGGGTGGAAGCGAGCGTATTCACGTCGCAGACGTTCAGGAATTCATCATGCGGGACGTCCTAAAAATGACTGATCAACGAATCAAGGACTTTTCACATCTGTTTGACGCCCTGAGGGCAGGATGTCCTCCTCACGCTGGCTTCGCGCTTGGGTTCGATAGACTTGTTGCGCTGCTTACAGATACGTCGACCGTTCGGGATGTTATTGCTTTTCCTAAGACCATGAAAGGTGAAGATCCGTTTGTGCGGTCACCAAGTAAGCTGAATAATGAACAGCTTGCTCCATATGGGCTACAACTGATGTCAAAGTCGAAATGATCTGCACTTTTCTGGTCGCTAGTCGCCACGGACCGGGCAGGATCAGGCTTCAGTTTAATGGAGCCTCTGTACAAACATGTATCACATATTGTAATATAGACTCATAGACTTGGCGCGGAGAATCCATGTCCAGGATGGTATATTTAGCTTACCAAACAGCAAGCACTCGAACACGATGCTTTATTGTCCTCCCTCGTCATACGATTCCTCATCCCCTCATAAACGCTTCGTACTTTCACTGTACGCGATATGGAATTTTCCAGCGTTCTTTTGCCGTCAACTCTCGTGATTGCTAGGGTTGCTTACGAGTAAAGTCCGGCGGCCACTGATATGTTGCGAGGAAGCGTAGGGTCGATGGTTCGCTGGGACACTGAGTCGTGATCTCACAGGATATCATCGCCATTACTGTCTCAAAGCTCTAGTCTTTTATCAAAATACTCATACCAATTTTTTTTCTTAAAAAAAAAAATACTCCTCCAGAATTTAGGGTATTCAAGCCTGCTGTCCAACTTGAAAGAACATGGGACACATACCAGGGCGAGTGGGTCTAACCGCCGAGGGACAAGGAGCGACCCACGCGCCGCCACCACATGAAGGCTCACCGCCAAAAATCTTGGAGAATTCTGCCACACTCTGAACTTCATCAGGCTGATGCTGTTCGCAAGCAAGTACACCCTTCACCACTCCACCAAGGCTTGATAGTTCATTTCTCCCGGAAAATCCTCCATTACAAGAGACCCTTTTTCGCAGTAACCATGTCATCTATGCGCAACGCCGTGGCGCGGCGTCCGCACCGTGAGCGTGCGCAGCCGCTGGAGCGTCGCCGACTGGGCTTGCTCGAAAAGCACAAGGTAAGAAGACGATGCGTAAACACCCCACGAAGACGAACTAATTGGCATTTTCTAACCTCAAGCAGGATTACTCTCTCCGAGCCAAGGATTTCAACAAGAAAAAGGCCCAGCTGAAATCGCTGCGACAAAAGGCCGCTGATCGAAACGAAGATGAATTTTACTTTGGCATGATGTCCCGCAAGGGCGTCGGATCCAAACTCAAGGACGGCAAGAGCTGGACAGGCAAACTGGAGGGCGATCGTGGCAACAGGGCAATGGACATCGATACTGTGCGGCTGCTCAAGACCCAGGACATGGGGTATATCCGGACGATGCGGCAGGTGGTTGTCAAGGAAATTGCGAGACTAGAACAACAAGTCGTCTTGACAAGAGGCCTGGACCGTCTTGACGACGAAGACGACGAGGAAGATGATGTGGGCTCCAGCGACGACGAGACGACGCCCTTGCCAGCGAAACTCAAGGCAGCGAGAAAGATTGTCTTCATGGATGACGAGGAGGAGCGAGAGGCTACCATGCTGGATAAGTTGGAGGCGGAGCAACATGACGACGACGACGACGAAGAAGAAGAAGGTGGAAATCCCGCCGCGGCAGATGAGGAAGGGGACGACGAAGACTCCGAGCGGGCCAAGTCGTTGCGGAGACTGAAGAGACAGCTTGAAAATGCCAAGAAGCAGCTCAAGGCTTTCAATGATGCCGAGGCACATCTTGATGTGCAGCGCGCCAAGATGGCCAAGACGGCGACATCTGGAGGGAACACGAGGAGAGGGAGGAAAATCATGGTTCGCGCGAGGAAGCGTTAGAGCAGTTGAAACATGTCGGCTTGTGGTAACGATGGCATCTACCGGCGTTTTGGGGTGTTCTTTACAATCACGAAATATACTTGATTCCTTAATACCCTGCGTAGGTCATCTCATCAACATATCGCAGTCCAAGACGGGACAGTCACGTCAGCAGAAAAAAAGAAGCGCACGTTCACCGTGGTACATATCCGACGTGTCTCATTATTATAATCATCGCACATGGCTACGTTAATATTTCGACCCCACACACGAATACAAACACTTGAAGACGCCCCCAACGGCCTTGAACAGCGCAGTCAAGACCCATATAGCCAGCTTGAACACGCCCCTTGCCACCTTTACCACGACGCGTATCAAAAACGGCGGCTTATCCCCCGAGGACCGACGCCCGTGCCGCCCCTTGCCCAGGCTGTCATTTTGGCTTTCCACGTCAATTTCAAACGCCTCCATCTTGCCCTTGTTCTTCCTCTCGTCCCTCCGTATACTCAACTTGCTCAGTCTCCCCGAGCTGCGCCTCGCGCCAAGAGCAGCCGCCGGCGGCGGCAGCGGCGGGGGTTCAAAGGTTTCCATCGGCGTCGGCGAGTTCCTGTCCTCGCCGGCAGCGACCAGCAGCAGGGCCGCGACGACGACGTCCAGGATGTAGAAGGAGTCGATCTGGGCGGCGACGCCCGTGTCCAGCTCGATCCAGCCGCCGCCCGTGCCGTCCCTCGTCAGCTTGGCGAGGTGCCGGGGCGACTCGTCGTGCTCAAGGGTGTACTCGACGCGCGAGTAGGCCGGGTTTCGCTCGACAGCGACGCAGAACGGCCTGGCCAGCGCATTGTGCACGAGAAAGTGCGTCGCCGTGTCCTCGTCCCAGACCAGCCGGGCGCACTCGTTCTCGGCGGCCGCGACGGACGCGGCGTCGTCCGCCTTCTCGACGGCCATTCGTGCGGCCGCCGTCGGCATGAGGAGCGCCACGAGCCCGTCGTTGGGCGGGTGCTTGCGGGACTCCTCTTCCAGGGTCGAGCTGAGTGCTCCGTAGCAGTGTTTTGCGTCAGACCGGCTGCCGCTGCTTCCCGGGGCCCCGGGGGAGTTGCCGGCGTCTGGCTTCGGCGCCTTTAGCGGTTTCGCCGGGTCGTGCCGCGTGAGGCTGATGTAGGCCGCGGCGGACGTGGGATCCAGCCGGAGGCTCCAAAACGGCTGTGAGGACCGGGACGACAGCGTGTACACGGGCGCGTCTTTCTGCTGCGACAGCTTCAGGCAGAAGACCCGAGACTCGGAAGCAGACGCCTTCCACCCGTTGGCTACTTTCCACAGGTTTTTGAGGTCGTCTGCCGTGCAGGGCGTGGGGGTCTCCGGCGGCGGCTGCGTCTGTATCCTCAGTGGCCATCGGCCCCTTGCTGCAGGTCGTCGGGGGCTCGACGGCTGACTGCGATTCGGAGCGCTCTGTATCCCTGGTGATTCCGGCTCCTCGTAGACGGATTGCCTGCTGATGACGGCGCGGGGGATGTGAGCGGGACCCATTTGCGTCGGCGCGTACTCCTGCTCGTTGAGCGAGACATCCGGGTTGTATGTCGGGAAGATGGACCTCAGCGGCTGCGAGGCAGAAGCCGGCGAGGGCTGGTCATGGAGAGGGTGCTTAGCAATGGAGTTCCTGGACCGTCCGCTGTTGCTGCGAACGAGGGTGTTGGCTTCCGAGAAGGCGGTTTCCGTCCGGCCGGGCACGTCGTGTGCATTCCGGGGTTGTTGGACGGCAGCCGTGCCGGCAGTGGTCTCTAGGCCGTGGTGCCGCGTAGGGGTCTCAGAGTGCGGTGTGTCGCTGCTCAACGGCCAGTTGGAGGGTGTTGCTGCCGGCGCGGGCTCAAATTGCACAGGTGGTGAATATGATGGATGCCCAGGCGCCTGGGGGTGCTGATCTGGTGTAGCCACCCTCTGGACCTGGGGCGTTTGCGGCCTCCTCTCCTGGGATTCCGACCGCCGCCCACGGTGAGCCTGGAGACTTCGAGATGTCGGCGGTGGTTTGGAGGCGTCGGGGCTGGGAAACAGGGAGAAGCCGGCTGGCTGGGATTGCTGCGGCGAAGGCATGACTGCTATATAAATCGTTGGTATCTAGCCCCCAGTGCAGAAGTTCCGGATAACAAGAAACCAGCAGCGACCTGGGGTATCACAAGGTTGAAAAAAAAGAAAGAAAGAAAAAAGAAAAAAAACTATAAGCCAGCTTCGGCTTACTGCATCGTGTCCCGCCGGATATGGCCAGTACCAGCTCGAAACAAGACGGGACAATCGTCACGCCTGTGAAGAATGAAGCCGAGGCAGCACAGGAAATTGCAAAACAAAAGAACGGAGGAGCAAAAAAATGGAGGCGGTGATAACATATAGTGTCGCACGGCATGCCATCTCCTATCTACGGCAGTGGGGCCCCCGAAAGGGCTGCAGTGCCTGCATTCTGCTGGTCTGGCGCCATTTTTGCTCTTTGGCGCCCTGTTGCAGTAGTATTTCCTGCAGGATGCTGGGCGGACGCAAGGCACGCGGAGGGGGATTTACGCGCCGCGTTGAAGAATCGTCATGTCACTGGTTGGGATGAGAATGTCGTGTGTTATGCGGTGACGGGGGGAACTATATTTGGACATGCAGCCAATGGTGTCGGATATCACATTGCGTCAAAGCGGGGTGGAAGATGCGTCTAAGCGCCGAGCTGCGCAGGCGGCCGACCTGGGCTGTATTATTGGCCGGCATGGCATCTCATATTGAGTGGGCGCTTGTGGGAGGATTGGACATGGGAAGTACTAGTGTGGTGATTGAGAGTCAGCATAGTGTGCGAAACAGGGAAACGAATAGCGGAAAACGGCTTTGTCCTGCCATGACCGCTCCAGAGATGTCGATCTGCTGTAACATGTCAACCCGTCAGAGTAACTCCCGTGGCCCATGAAGCGTTAAGCTTATAGCCACAGGTTGCACGCATTGAACTTCTCACAGCACTGCTTAACTAAGTATTATTTAATACAAACTACAAGATATATTAAGTTCTTATTTCATCATCCAGCCAAAGGTCCCGCAAGCTCTGCATCAGGTTTGTACCTATCCTGCTGGATGCTTTGAACTTTCGTGGCATGTTGTGAAGTTGGTTGCGGCAATAGGTAGCTCGAAACTTTTCTGTTGATGAATCTCACAACCAACTTTTTCATATCAAAGGTCCCCTGGTCTCTTCCAAGGTTTTGAGGGGTCCAGAGCCTTGTTCACACAAGGCAGCAGCTGGAAGCCTGGGGCCTCGACTAGGTCTCGAGCTCTTATGTAACTATCTTCAGGTTCAACGGACGGTCCGTGCCGCAATGCTACGTGACTTCTGCCTAAACATCGAGCGGGCGGGGAAAGACAAGTGCCTGGATATATTTATGTCCTATAATATCCCCTCTATTCCAATGCTCCCACGCCGCATCTTAATTCTCCTGAACTAGTCACCTTATTTAAAGAGGGGTTTACATTCTCATCAGCCTTGGAACATTTGTTTCTGACTAGCAATCAGCTTGTCAATTCGTCACGGTACGCTCTCAGAACTCTAGTGGGTAAGCGGAGTCTTGATGTCCATTTTGCACTCAATAATCTTGGCGGCGTGTGTGAATCTCACTCTCCCGGAGTACTCCTCCTCTTATTCCTAGCAATGGCTTCCTCCTCAAGCCGATCAGCTTCTCGGGCGTGGCCAAAATCTTTTGGCTATCTTTGCCAGGAGTCAATGCGAAAAAATCTATCTAGAAGGACAAGAGAAAAGTGGCTTACATGCCTTGGAATTGTCGACGTAAACAGAAAGAGGATTGAGCAGAACATGCCACCATTTACTTATGCAACGATTATGTATGAGTCTCCTTTATTGACTAACAGAGCTCCTCTCCAGCTGACCAATTCAATAGCACCGGCCTCCACATGAGTCCTTCTGACCCGAGCCCTCATATAACGCTTGCTGTGGCAACGAGTGAGATGCAGATATAAAGGCAGCATTATATCATGCACAGTCGAGCCACCAGCGAAGTAACTCAGGAAGCATCTTTCGTTGGAGGCGAAGCCTTTTCCACACCTCATGAAGATGGCAGACAACTCCGAGCCTCTTACAAGAGGCTCGCCCATGCTCGAACATCCCTTATGCCAGATGAGGACGAAGGCAAACCCTTCCCCGTCGGCCAAGTGGTCGGTTCAGATGGCATCAAGCGTTGGTACGTTCTCAACAAACATGGGAAGACACTGTATATCGAATCCGACTTTTACACAGTGGGCGAGGGTTCGTCAGCGCACATGCAACTCTTGCACCCAGAGTTAAACAAGCCAGTCTAAGCATTAAATTATAAGTAAGTAATTATAATAATAAGTATACTTATAAAAAGAGCGTAAAAAACTCTCTCTTTTATAGCTAATTATAGACTAATATTTATATATTATTATAATAATTAATGCTACTCTAAGTATAATAACTTTAAACTCCTTAGGCCCCGCTGGGGTTACTCTAATTATGTGATAATCTTATTCTTGTGCGATTATTGTGGGACCGGGTCGTTATTGTAACGGGCCTCCCCGCAACCCCAGTAGTAAATTAGGTGGGGCGTCGTGGCTTGGCGACAGCTTCCGCCGCGACTGACCGCCTTGGTCATATAGGATCATCGGAGGCTGTACGCTTCTCTGCCAGTTTTTTAATTGTTCACTTCTTCACCTCGTCACATCTTACTTCCTACTTCTAAGCAATGACTTCCCACGTGGTCATTAAAGGCCTTTGTATAGGCAACAAGCCTGTCATTATGAAGAGGTTTCTATACCACCAATACAAGCAGTTCACAGATGGTACCCAATGCTGGAGAGACAACTACATTCTTGAGCGATGGGCGGATTCTGAACGGCCCGTGGTGTACTATGGACAGGATCTGAACGGATACAGGCTGTTGAAGAGGTTGGGCGATTGGTGCTGACTGGCCAGAAATACCAATAATGAGTATGTGTGTTTCTTCGCCCAGGACCGCAGAGGAGGCTAACCACCGGCGCCAGCGAGCTCTTGACCATCAAGTTCCTGGGGCGGAGCGAAACTCGGCAAGTCAAACGAGAATTAGCCATCAACCAATTTCTACGTTCGCGATGCCCCCAAAGTCGCCACGTGTGCACCATCAAAGACAGCTTTGTCATACCGCACCACCTGGCAAAAGTTAACCCCCAATACCGGGACGTCAGCTTTGACGTCATCGCCTACCCGCCGACTGGGACAGATCTTCAAGTGATACATACTTCGTCGGTCCGCAGCATCTCGCCACTCCCTTTAAGCCTAAAAAGGAGAGTGCAATGCATCAAGGACATTGTTCGAGGGGTGGCCGAACTCCACAGCCTAGGTATCGTGCATGCAGGTAATTCGACAGAGAGGAATTCCTTGAAGAAAGAGTTTAACAAAACACAGATATCCATCCAGGCAATGTTGCACTACCACCGCCTGCAGATGCAGACATCGAGGCGTTCCTTGAAGAGCCACATGTAGAACATTGGTTGGAACGTGAGGATGGAGCTCCAACACCTGACTGCCTCCCCAAATCCGTCATCAAGCCAGAGGACTTGGGCTTCGGTAACGGGACATGCAGAGTCTTGGATTTTGGATACTCGTTCCGGCACAGAGAAGGTGCCGTCTACAAGGCGGACAGCTTCTCACATGGCGCGGTAAAGGCCATCGAGTTTGAAACGAGCGAAACGACAGCCCAGCCCTTCAAGGTGGACAGTTGGTACATGGGCCAATTGGTATGTACACTCGACATATAACGCCGTCACATATTGCCTGACACTTACTAGATCTATTACATCTTGACAAATGGATGTAATTTATGGATCCCCGTCCCTCAAATCTCAAGTCACATTTCCGAAACTGTATGGCTGTGTTGGAGACTGGAGTGGATCAATTTTTTAACAAGTTGCCAGGCAGACATCGGCGCCATTTCCAGCCCATAATTCGTCAGCTTATGCACGGTGAGCCTAACCGCCGTCTTTCTGTTGAAGATGTTGCGGCTAGAATGGAGTCGTTTTGACTTGGGCTGAGCCTTCCCATAAGGAATTCAGCTTAGCTCTCTTTCTTGACGTTCATTTATACAATGTACTAACTTCCCAACTATTATCACCAGGGGAACCATGGTTCTGAACAATCTCAGTCTAATCACGGACACAAGAATATATTGATCTGCTGTACACATGTCATCTTATGCACAATTATAAAGCGTGCAGCCGCGCTCAACTACCGCGAGTGGCCCCAAATGCCGCATAAAGGGGCAGCAAACTCATGGCCATGTCTCACGCGCATCGACTTCTCAGAAGTACGACTAAATATACAGCGAAGCACAATCTGACAAGAAACAGCAGCACTATATGAAAGTAGCAATACGAAACGTGCTACGAACAAAAGAAAACGTCATTCCACCGCAATCTGTAAGAGAATACAAGCAATGTACTAAAGAAGCAATGCCAAGTTGCCACTAAGAAACAAAGCATCTCAAATAATCCTTTTCTAGGCGTCGCCATTGATCACTGCACGATTGCCTGTTCAAATGCAGTCGGTCTCGTAGCCGTGCTCGTGGCCCTTGCAGTCCTATACGAATGGCAAGTCAAATCAGTATGAAATACCAGCCAAAGCTGACAAACAAGAACCTACCTCGGAAATACGTCCACCAAGCCGTCTCAAGGCCTCGTTTGCTCGGCCATCGTTGGACTGTACTAGATGTGTAGAAGCGACATGATAATGTCCTTGGGCGCAACGCTCCTGCGTCAAGAGATGCTCCATTTCGGTTTCAGCCTCGGTCTGTATAACTGGCTTTTGCGTCGTCCTTTTACTAGAGGGGCGTACCTTTTCCCAAATACTATTCACGCCGTCTAATCCACCGTGTCGTGTTAGTTGACGCCTTGCTACTCGTTCCCTCGTACGGCTTACATATGTGATCATACGGGGTGGCCCTTGCCGTCGAGGCAAAGAAGATGGAGAGCATGCCTGCGCCTTGTTGGTCGTGCGGCAGGCGAGGCGAATGGGAATAGAAAAATGAAACCGTCTGCGAACGCAACCAGACTCAGATGCTCTTATATTCCTTTTGAGTCATCCCTGATTACCTGCCTCTTGCTGTTCCTGCTTTACTTTTTGTCCTCTCCAGTCCAAAAGAAATCTGCAACTCAATTTCATTCATGTCCAGTTTTTTCTTAGTGCGTATGTTCATCTCGCGTGACCCAAGGACCCGAAACACCCTCTTCGCTGCCCGATCAAGGCACAAGCAGAGTTTATCGTGTTTCAAGGGCTGGATCGGATTTCCCCTGCTCCACGAATTGTCTCGGACAGATCTCCTGGCACCCGAGATGATGCGCGACTCGAGGGCTTGCGGCGTATTGACAGGTCCTGACGTAATGCGGCTGCCGGGCCGTGCCGACCCGGGCCCTCTTGTGGCACGACGCCTGCAATGACGGGCCACTTACCCTACGCCGTATTGGGCGTCAAGTCGATATCTTCTTCGCCCCGTCTTTATTCAGAGCTGTTGAGTACTGCCAAGCAACACAACACACCCTCGGCCAGCTTGAAGGCAAGGGGCTTCTATTACAACGAGAGCAGCTTGACGATTCGAAATCCACCGCGACGCATACATGCAGCTTCGGTGAAAAGAGGGCACACCAACTGTCACTGGGGAGTCGCACAGCCTATGCCCAAGTTATTTTCCAGTAGTGATTTCTATTTCTGACATGCGACAGCGTCCGCAACCCCGGTCCTGCCGCCAAACTGTCGTGGCTCCTCCTCGTCCATCTTATCGTACAAGACTTTGTCTTTGTCTAGTATACATTACCCAACCCCGCTACCAAAAGAGTCGGCACTGAAAAACGAGGTGAAGCGATCCCATATCCCAAGCTCCAAACTAGAAAGAAACAACAACGCCAGAAACCATGCCAATATGCCTCGAAAAGGTTGCAACCGCCCGCTCTACTCCTCGGCCTCTGTCATCTCGCGGCTTGCCGTTGCCTTTGGATTGGACCAAAAGCAGGCCAAAGGGGAACTGTCATCTACTGCCATCAGGACCACGCGGCCTGTCCTTGGCCGCCATCCCGCCCACTCTCTCCGCCTGTCCCAGCTTCTCCAGCTCGCGCTGCTTGGACGCCCGCACCTCCTCCGGGAGCCCCCACCACTCGCGGATAAACTCCTCCTGGGCCACGGCCATCTTGGCCTTGCGCTCGCGCTGCCGGTGCCGCTCCATCCGCATGGCGAACCACTCCTCGCGCGCGGCGTCGTGCTCCTCCGGCGTGGCATGGAGCTTCATGCAGTTGTTCATGACGCGGTGCTCGGCCCGGCAGGCAAACGACACGGTGAAGGTACGGCCGAGGGCGCACGCGGCAAAGGCTAAATCCCGAGTCAATCAGTATCAGTTTCCCCCGTTTCTTCGCAAAAGTTGTCATTTCCGCCAAAACCCCCCCCAGCTCCTCCAACGCCAAGACTACAAGCACGCACCTTTGATCTCTTCGGCACACTGTTTGCGAACCCGGGCGTAGAAAATGTCGCGTACTTGCGACTCCTGCGAAGCCGACAGCGGCAAGGGGTTTCTCGACGGCACGCCGGGGCGTTTGTCCGGAGCGTCGGGCTTGTCGGTGGCCATGGTCGTCATTTCGCTGGGAAACCCAGAGGAAGCAAAAGGGGAGTTTCAATGGTAGCTCTTTGACGCGGGGCGCGACCCTCGTCCCCGCGATGAGAAAAGCCGGCTGAGTCCAGGTCCTGGGTGAAAATGGAAGCCCCGGGGGATTGGCAATGGGAGCCTGCCAGAGCGCAGACAGTCGACGTGGCCGGGCGATTGTGGTGGAATTGCGCAAAGTTGGCTGAGAAGCTCGATGAATCAGGCAATACTCTATCGAGCCGGCTCCACCGAGAGGTTGGCAGAATCCATGACACCGCCTTCCTCTTACGAACACCGACTTACACCAGTTCGAGGCTGGTTGTCGACGAAGCACGTTCTGAAAACTTGCTTTATCTCGCGTGACAGCAGATGGGGCGGGATTTGTTAGAAAGATGTAATAAGAGAGATGAAATAGGTTTTTCCATGGTGGTTAAGTGAGGTGCTGTTGTGAGATGCAATATATCGCTATATACCGCACTCGAAAATATTGCGGGGGATAATTATATGATCATTCATTGAAAAACATGGTATATAAAAAAAGACGCAAAAAACCCAATCCAACAGGTGCCTCAGCCCCGCGCCGTTATCATTTACACCAACTAAACAGGCCTCTTTGCCCGGAAACGGCGCCAATAGACTCGCTGCCGCAACTCGTCCAAATCACACACCCCGAACCTGAACCTCATTATTAAAAGGACAAGATGCCATGGCAACCTCTATACATCTCAGCCATCTACCCAACTACTGCGGATGCGGTCGCGGTTGGTGGTAATATTGCTGCTCCTGCTGAGGAGGCGGCGAGCTCGTCACCGGAGACGGAGAGTACGCCTGCTGGGGCAGCGGCGTGCCCGACAACTCGGTCCCCTGCTGGACATGCTGCTGGTACGAAGGGTACTGCTGGTTGTACTGCGCATACTGCTGCGCGTCCTGGGGAGGCTGGTACGGCGGCTGCTGCTGGTACGGGCTCTGAGCGGGCTGGTACGGCGCCGGCGCCGGGTTCTGGCTCAGAGGAGACTGCTGGTGTTCGCCCGTCTGCTGGGGCCGAATGGGCTGCTGGTACGGCTGGTGCTGCTGCTGCTGCTGCGGCCGCATCACGGAAGCACCCTGCTCAGCCTTGGGCTCCATCTGGTAGTTGTTGCCGCCGCCGGAGCCGCCTGCGATGGGGAAGCGGCCCTCCTTGCGGCCGCGAAGGAACATGACAATGGTCCACACAAACGTGGCGGTGAACAAGAGCCTTTGCAGTCAGCATCCCGCGACCCCGGAGGGCTGACGGGCGGAAGAACTCACCACAGGAGGGCGCCCAGCCCGGCAATGGAACTCATCATGGCGCCGCCGCTCTTGAACAGAATGTCCCTCCGCTCCAGCTGGCGCTTGCTGAAGCACGTCTTGCTGCCGATGATGCTGCCGTCGTCAACGCACCCGGTGACCTGCACGTTGAATTTAAACGTGGCTCGCCGGGCGGCCACGGCGGCAAACGTAGCCAGCCACATGACGACGAGGAAGCCGTCGAGGACGGTCACGGCCAGGACGTGGTACGCCGCCTGCCACGCGGCTATCTTTTCCGTCAAGACGGCGTAAAAGAGAATACACCAGGTGAGGACGGCCTGCGAACGGGCTGGTGGTTAGATGTGCGCTTCCTTTTTCCCGGTCGTGTCATGTCACGGGGGAAACTTACAGTAGCGACAGACAGCCCAAACTCGTCCAGGTACAAGTCGTGCATCAAAGCACCCGCCAGGCCGAGAATTATGAGCGAAATGAGGAACTGGAATCCGCGGACGATAATCATCCATACCGGCGTCTCGAGGACGTGGCTCGCTGGCGTTTGGTGGACTTGCTCCATTGCGAGCGGAAACCGTGAGTAGTGCGACAAGAGTACTATTCAGCAAATGCTGTTTTCGTGTCAGTACCAGAGTCCAATTTCAAGGATGGGCGTTGAGAGAAATTCAGCGTACGCAGACTCTCAGCCCAAGTGGCGTCCCTGTCCACGACTTATATGACCTCGTTCGTCCGCGCCCCAATCTCCCATTGTCAAGATGGTCCCAGACCACCCCCCGGTTCGTTTTTGAGCCTCACCAGCATACCGCTTTGTTGCTGGCGCCTGGAAGAATCTGCCCGCTCAGGCAGCACGCCCAACGTCCGGGAAAACCAATATCGTTCAGCCCTGACATGGCTGCCATGGCCGCAAAAAGGATGCGAGGAAGCAAGCCCATATCACTAGTTTGCCTCAGCCGCACCGCGCGCAAATTTTGGGGGGATGTGAGTGGATGCCGAGCACGAGGCTGGCCCTGCCGAAGCAGGCGTTATATTGGGCTATTTGTGTGCTTTTTTTACGACGCGCCGTTCTCTGCTTGGGCACGGGGAGCTTTTCGCACAAGTCAAGGTGAGGGCGTTTGGGCTTTGCGTGCCGCGAGTCCATAACACGGCCAACGAGAAGAGTTTATCGCGCCACGCGGAAACTGATCACGGAAAGGCGGGTCTTTTTGCCTTGGGTGATTTTTTTTTTTTTTCACCTCGCTGGATTCTCAACACGAAATGGGCTGGGAGGGCTCTTGAGGTCCCTTGCTGGATTTTACGGATCCGTGTCACTGTCACTTCAGCTTCGGCCAATGCTTTGATGAGGAAATGAGAACAATCATGGCAAGAAATGGACACGGTTAAGATGGCGGATCTCTTTCCGCGGCGCCTGGTTCTAGTGCTGACGGGGACCCTGTTTCCAGCTCGCCTGCCGAAATGCAGCAGAGTACAAGTGTGCTCAAGTGCTGGCAGATTTGAGTCTCGAAACCCTGGTCCGACCAAGCTGAGCTCAATGCTGGGTCCGCAATTGGAGTGTTTGCGAGCTGCCGCTTGCTTTTCTCGCTCTCGTCATGTCACCGCCTACGCCGCATCCCTCTCTGGTAGTACAGAGTATGTCAGAGACATTCTCGACCCCCGTTTTCTCCCCTTTCCCCCTTTCCGCCTAGCATCCTGAGCCGGTTGGGCGAACCATCCATGGGCTGTTGGGCTGACTCGGTAGTGGGCTGAGATGCAGGGCATCACCAGCCCCAAGCTATCCTTGCTTTGCTCACCTTTTTTCCATTTCTAAATCGTCTCAATCTTCTCATTAGGACCGGCAATCAGAATCTTGATGACCTCGCCCTCCTTGACCTTCTTAAACGCCTCTTCGGCCCGATCAAACGGCACGACCTCGGTGACGAGCTTCTTGACGTCGACCTTGCCGCTGGCGACGAGGTCGACGGCGAGCTCGTAGTCGCCAGGGCCGTAGCGGAAGGACCCGCGCGCGGTAACCTCCTTGAGACACATGGCCATGATGGGGAAGTCGACGTCGGGCCTGCCCATGCCACCCTGGACGTAGGTGCCGCCGGCGCGGACGGCGTGCAGGCCCGTCCGGATGGAGGCCTCGGCGCCGCTGGCGTCGATGACGGCGTCGGCGCCCCATGACGACGACGGACTGGCCCGGCCGGACGCGCGCCTGCTTGACCATGTGGACGGCGACGGCGAGCGGCTCGACGAGGGCGCCCTCCCGCAGCGACACCGAGTCCGGCAGCTTGTAGCAGAGGTCGGCGGGCGACGCCCACCCCCAGCCCCGTCAGCGTGCCGTGGTGCGGCGGCGTGGCGGCAAACACCATCCCGTCGCAGAGGTTGTACTTGCCGGCGCGGCAGTCGGCGCAGCGCCGGCAGGCGTAGCCCGGCTCGATGGCGACGCGGTCGCCGGGCCCGAGGTGCGTCACTTGGCTGCCAGCCTCGACGACGGTGCCCGCCGACTCGTGGCCCAGCACCATGGGCTCCTTGACGACAAAGTGGCCGATGGCGCCGTGGCTCCAGTAGTGCACGTCGGAGCCGCAGATGCCCGTGTAGTTGACGGCGACGATGACGTCGTGCGGTGACGTGAGCGTTGGCTTGGGCCGCTCCGCGTACGTGACCTGGTAGGGTTTGTTGAGGATGAAGGAGAGGTTCTGGGTTGCAGAGGGGCTTGCGGTCAGTTGGGCTTCCGTGACGGGGGGACGGCGGCTTTTCTTACGCTGATTTCATCCCGATTCAATGTCTGCGCGGCCATGGTGACGGAAGTTGGCGCTCTGAATGACGGCGTGCTTGGAGATGAAGCGTGAACGCGGGTTTGGTGTTGCAACAAAAAAAAAGTGGTGGTTGCGTCACGATGAGGGTGCTTGGACCCCGACACCCGAGTTTGCGGGGTAAAAGGAACGACAGTGGGAAGCGACAAGCAGGAATCGCCAATCGACACTGCGGACGCACAGACTACCGCCAGAAGCAAGGGATAATCTCGAAAAGAGGAGAATCAAGTAAAAAAAGAAAAGAGAAGAAAAAGTCCGGACAAGTTTCTGAATAAATAGGCCTCTCGGGTCACGATGCGATGATGCCCCGACGTGGGCTCCCCACAGATCCGGGGCAGGGGGGCCCGACGGAGATGGTCCCTTCAACCACTTATCAGGCCCAATGAGGTGCCGTGTCCACTGTCCACCTGTCGATGATTCAGTTGACCCGTGGTGGACTCCGTCGGGGAGTTCGGAGGCGCGGCCGGGGTGAAGCGGGCAGCCGTTCCAAGTCAATCGCAGTGTACGTACAACCAGTGGCTACTAGGTATTTTGTTTAATACGTCTTTATATAAGAATAAGTTCATCTGTGGCTGCTGGTGGTTTTTTTTTTTTGTTTATTTTTGTCCACTGCCGGCAGGTATAGCCAAGATAAGCTTGGTATGTACGGAGTAACCGCCGGTTAAATGCCACCAGACCCAACATTGGCCAGCCGAGAGGCATCGGCAGATGAATGCTTGGAATAATGCCTTTACGATTAATGCCTTTGCCCGCGCTCACCAGTGAAAAATGCCCAACGCAGCCCAGCGGTGCCACCAAGCCAGCGCCACGTGAGACGACAGTCTCCCCGGAATCCCACCCACGAACCGTGACTGGTCCGCTCATGGTGGCAAAAAGTATCTGAGCCAGGTCACATGCCACATTGTTTCGCAGGGCCATGGCAGGAAAAAAAAAACAGGTTCGTGAGTCTCGTCATTCATCCGACCTAGCTAGGAGTCGTCATAACACAGTCATATAATAATACATGGCTCCCATGGCCCTCCGTCTCTCCCGCAAAGGCCCCTTTATCGCAAATAGTGCTGCTCCTGGGCACTGATAGAATGCCTCCGCCACTTGCTGTCCTGGGGATACTTGTGCTCAATGGTCGGCGGGCCAAGATACTGGCTCAGCACCGACGGCGGCGAGTGCGCGGCATCGAGCACGTCGGGCTTGGCCGGGGGGCTGGCGCTCGTCGAGCTGCACGTCGGTTAGCGTAAGCCCGTCTGCTGTTCATCGTTGAGCTGGGCATCTTGTACCTGGGGGGAGACGATGCCGAGCCCTTGGTTTGGACTCGCGGCGAGGACTGGATCTCGCGGGGCGCGGAGCCGGACGCGGCCTCGGGGTGGGCGAGCGGGATCGCCGGCCGGTTGTTGTTGCCCAGAGTCTCCCTGAGCTTGCCCATGAGCTTGGAGGTCATTTTCGGTATTGTGATGGTGGACTTGTGTGGTGTTTATATAGATTTATACAGACGGCGTGGGGAACGTGGTGAGATGACTTATACCGGGGGGGAGGGTTGCCCACGTCTCAGGACACGCGGGCAGCCTCGTCACGTCTTATATACCCCAGACAGTTGGGATGGCTCCCGGACTCCGGGGGGCGCAGTCCCAAGCTCTATCGTGATAGCTATCCCAATCTGGCCAATGCCTGGGTGGCGTACAACTTGGGGGGTCTGTAATGACTTGCTCGCCCACTTTTTCCTCAGCGTTGCGACAAAGCCTCGACTCCTAGCCAAGGCGGGGAGTGCAGCTAGACGTTGTGTTGCCTATCCTTTTCTTTTCTTTACCTTTCGTTATTCAATATTCAAGATGCAAGTCCTCCAAGGGTGGAGCGTTGTCGCTCTCCCCGATGTTGGAGGCCGTCGGAGCGGGTTGTGTAGCCTCGCCCTCTCTCGATTGCACGCCGTTTCCATCGTGGGCTTGATGCAGTTCATTGATGCAGGTCTCGTGTGACCCTCCCCCGTTGTCCCGGCCTGCCGATGCTCCAGGCATGCTGTACCGACCGTGCCATCCGGCCACTCTAAACATAAGGTTTGCCCGAATCTGGCGACTACGCCTCGCTGCGCGGGGCCCGTATGTCTTGTCTGAGCAAACGGTAAGCTTGTTTTTGCCCGATGCTGTCACATCGTCGGTATCAAAATGTGGCAATTGTCCATTCCTCGCTCCTCGCCGCTTTTGGCGTAGCCATCGTGGCTCTGTTCGGGATAGCATGTGCAGGCCATGACAGGAACTTTTTGTTGTTTCTCTTGGTCCTTCTCCGCCCCGACGGCTCCTCTGAGCGTTTTCAAGCTCTCGTTTCTTCCGTATCCTGCTCTCGTCGGCACTTGCACCAGATGGACAGGGGGGTGCTTGGGCTCAAGATGCCAGGCGTCATGGGGGCGCGCCGCAAGCTGACGTACCGCAGGTCTTGGCGCGATGAGTCGATTCCGCGATAGACGAGGCCGTGGCATGTGGTTTTCGGGGTCTTGGCGATTCGTGATCTGTCTCATTCCCCGTTTACGTGTGGGCTTCTCCTGTTAGCCGAGGCGACAATCAGGGGTCCAAGTTTGTCTCTTTTTCCAGTGTTTTTGAGTTTTTCAAAAGCCTCCGACGAGCGCCTAGGCATCCGGGGAAGAGGGGGGGGGCCTTCGTCTAAGTCCAGGTGGCTTCTTTGGCACAGCGGTTCTGTTGAATCTGCCGAGTGAGCGGGTTTCAACTGCCCCTTGCATAGGATGTACAAGCATGCTCTTGTCTAGTATTCCGTTGAATGAATCGAAATATCTTGATAGAACAGAGGTATAGAGAATGAAAACAAAAGGGCACATCACGGCAGCTTTCAAACCCCCGACGCATACATATCCGCCGGAATGTGCCGAGCGTACAAGACGCAGATTGAGCTTCATCGGTAACAAAAAAAAAAAAAAAAAAAAGAAAAAAAAAAAAAAAAAAGAAAAAAAAAAGAAAAAAAGAAAAAAAAAGGCAGGGGCATACATCCAGAGTGGCTTATTTGATGTGCATTAGCATTCTACTTTGTCCGATTTCTCCCTTTTTCGTTTGTCAGCTGCATGTAATTGGGACCAGCTCCTGGCCCCATGCCTGCAGGACCTCGGCATGGCGCCATCTTCATTAAGAATCAATTGATGCTATCCCCGGGGGGGAACAAAGGATCGGTCGCACGGAGTATGGACATGCCTATCTACATTCGACCTCCTGTGTTTGTGGTCGGCATGCATACGGTGGATAGTCTGTAGCACAGCATTGCGCGTAGACACGGATAAGACCGCAGCGCCGTTTCCGCTGCAGAGCCATCTTTATGCCGAAATAGCCTAGTTAAGTGGTTGCTGGAAAGTCACTGGTATCTAGAGCCCGCGCCCTGAACTATTCCACGCGCTGCCATTCTCAGCCACGGGGTTGATGTATGCACCCTACCAATCCACGATTTTAGGCTCGCTGTCACAGGCACCTCCAAGGGTACTAATTCGACGCGTGTCAAATTTAGTCCCCCTCGGCTCTAATGCTCCATGCCGTTTCGGTGACGCCCAGGGTTGAGCCTTCCCGTCACCACGATACACTCAGGGCCTCGGCGAACCCTCCTGTCCCTCAGAGTCGTTGCCGCAAATACCATCCATCATCACACGACACAGTTCCTGTCCGGGCGGGATCACCGCAGCGATACGCAGCCCTGCTGCCACCCCGATACCCCGATCTCGGCCACCCGCGGTAGCCGCGGGCCACCCATTATGAGAAGTAGCGCAGAGTTGCCGTCTCATATCATTTGCTCACCACCAAAACAACCTGCAGGACGTAGGACGGGGACTGGCCGGCGAACGACGTCATGGCTGGGCCCCCTTCCGGCGATTCAACTATTCCCTCTTGGGAACCCAAAGAGTCTCCAGATTGTGAGTTATATCACGAAGAAAAAAAAAAGAAGAAGAAGGAGAAGAAGGACTCGTATCAAACATTTTAGTTCCTAGGCATACTCTTCCATCTCTCCCCTCGCGGCTTCAATCTTCTCCTCCGGCACGGGTGTAGTCAGACCCAGGGTAGCCGCGATACTGAACAGCCTCATCTTTTCTTCGTGGGCGGCCGTGTCTCCAAATGCGACATCCATATCTTCGAGACTCTTGCCCTTGGTTTCCGGGATAAAAAAGTACGTGAACGCCAGGGCTATGAGGCAGAAGCACGCAAAGAAGATGTATGTCCCCCACTTGATGTTGTCCAGCATGTCCGGCGTCACGAGGCCGATGATGAAGTTGCACATCCACGTGGCGCTGGTCGTAATCGCCATGGCCTTGGACCGGCTGCCGAGGTTGAAAATTTCAGACGGCAGGACCCAGCCGATGGGCGCAAAGGAATACGAAAAGTTAATGTCGTAGATGTAGATGAATGCGATGCCCGTCCAGGCAGCCGCCTTGTGCGACTGGAGATTGGAGCCGTGCGCGCCGACGATGGCGCCGACAATGACGAGAGACACAAACGTCCCAAAGGCACCGCACATGAGCAGAGGTCGTCTGCCCACCTTGTCAATGAGGAACACGGCCGGCAGAGTGGACAATGTGTTGACGATGCCGTAGACGCCCGTTGCCAGCAGTGAGGTGGTATTCCCCGACAGTCCCAATTGCCCGAATATGGTGGGCGCGTAGTAAATCAACGCGTTGCAGCCCATGAATTGTTGAAGAAACATGGTCCCGGAGCCTACGAGCAGTCGCTTCAAGTTTGGCCATGTGGAAACGAGGGATGCATATTGTGATAGGTAGAGAGAAACACCACGCTGGCCGGGGAACTTGTCCCGTGCCACGGATTCGTCAAAAAGAACTTCTGCCTTGATTGCCAGATATTCCTCACGTAGGGTATCTGAATCCGGGTGGACGCGTCGGAGCTGGCCCAGCGCACCGAGTGCCTTCTCTTCGCTCTTGCGCATGAGGTAGAACCGAGGCGATTCCGGGAAGAAGATCATGCCCGCGCCCAAGATTAAAGCAGGCGCGATTTGCAGCGCAAACGGAACTCTCCACGCTGCTCCGCTTTGACCGGTACAGCCGTTTGGGCCGACGTCGTGTCTGGGGTCGAATTCGCGGTTCGACTCGGCGCCACCCGTGTAAGGGATATCAGGAGCACATCGTGTCCCGCCAATGTACTGCGTGCCGTATTCCAGCCAGTAACTGACAAGAATGCCAAGCGTGATGCTCACTGTAGACGCTCCATCAGCGTTTCACGACGAAATTTCTCGAGAAAGCTGTCGTTGTACTTACACTGCTGGAGAACGACCAAGGTCCCTCGAATACCTGGAGTTGAAACTTCCGACATGTACATGGGCACAATCATGGTCAACATGCCTATTGAAAATCCTGCAATTGCACGACCTGTCCAAAAGGGCAGTCAGTATCACAACATCCACAAGACGACGAACCAATCATTCTCACCTGCAAACAGAACGCCAATTGATCGAGCACCAGCTTGGAGACCCGACCCCAAGACAAAGACGACTACGGCCGCCAGCATTGATCCCTTGCGGCCAAACCGGTCGGCAATCGGACCGTTGACCAATGACCCCAGCCAAGCGGCAAGCAAAAGCGTCGACACGAACCAGCCCTTAAATCCACTGTCAAGATATACTCGCGGGAATTCTGCGCCAAAAGATTCCATTTTCAGAACCCCAGAAACTACGCCTTGGTCATAGCCGAAGAGAAAACCTCCCAACGAGGCGAACTAAGTCGATAATCAGTCAAGGAATCGCAAAAGAAATTCTTGAGAAGAGAAGAGAAGAGAAGCACTTACAGCAGACAAACCAAAAATGTACGGATTGTCGCGCAATTGGCGCCAGACACCGTCCGAGGTGCTTGTGTCAACGAGCCGAGACATTACGGGCACGAGCAGTAGTCTCCGTGATGCGCGCCACGTGTTCTGGGGTATTTCCCAGGAAAAAAACGAGAGCGATGATACCACGCGGTGGGGACTCTATATTCAAATGTGTCACCCCAGTAGTCGGCCACGAAGGATCTGGACGTCACTTGCCCCAAACGGGGTAATGCAGCTAGAATGAGCGAGGAACAGGGACTCTGCGGGGAAGTTCGGACAAGTCTATTCCGGCCCAGTAAAGCAGCAAAATCGTGATCGGGGCATTTGTGCCCCAGATGAACTTCAACGACCTAGTGGAGAATGTGTAGTTGAACCCCACGCATCTTCAACACAGAATCATCTATATCGGCGAGTGCTGTGTCGGGCGTTTGCAATCCGACAGACGTGAGGGCAACAGTAGTCGAAGTGGCAAAGGCGGTCGATCACGGCCGGCTAAATGGGGACGTGCTGTGCTACACGCCTTGGCCGAAATCAGTCCATCCCAACGAATTGAAAACATGCGCAGGGTCCATTGGCCAGGAGGAAAAGTCCAGCTCGTCCTGATACAACAACTCGTCGCCAATGAGGGGGCTGGTGGTCTGTTCTGGCTGCGGCGGCACAATCAGGCCAAGGATGTCGGCACACCGAGAAGCAAGGGAGTTGCTCGTCAACATTGTCCGAAAGGTGTGGTTCGCTGTATTGACGTCTGCTTGCCATGCCGCGGTTTCGGGAGATTCCAAATCCCCTAAAATTGCGAGAGCACTGATCAATGACGCATGAAACAAAAAGTATCTGCCCACTTGATTAGCGCACGACACTCCTTTTTTGTGTGTGTGTGATTTGCTGTAAAGTTTAATACTTACGTGGCATACCAGTTGATTAATCGAGTCATTGGTGTCTGCGTGAGAAACTGACTTATTGACACGATTGTCGAGTTGGCTGCCTGGACAGCCAAGTCCCTGCACCTATTATCGGGGTCTGTTGACGCGGTCACAAGATTGTCTCGCTTCCTTTTCATGGCGCGGCTCAAAACAATCTGTCTGAACAGAATGATTCTCAAATTCCATATGCGCCACCACAATCGAGACCTGGCGAATAGGTAAGAAGGCTCTAAACTGACAGGGTCCCGGGTCATCTTGAAATATGCAGGCAGGGTCTCGCACCACGTCTCAAGGGAGTGGTTCAGCCGCAAGGCCTCCTCCGGGGATATTCCAGAAGTCGCAAGGAGCCTGTTGGAAATGTGATTTGAATGAAGGTGGAAGTCGCTTTGGAACTTCATACCAGAATACCTGGTTGGTTGGATGGACTCCTCTGGCAGGTCCACGGTCCGGGGAGTCAATTGCTACGACTTGTTAGCTTCCAGCATAGCCTCGTCAACGAGTTCTCTATAACCCACTTCATCATGAATGTTAAGAACATGTTTCACATCCATGGCTTCGCCTTCGGGGAGAAGAATCGGCCTGCCAAAGGTGGTTGATGCGCCACTGTCAAAGAGAAACAGCCCCCACCAAACGCGGCGCCTTATTTCTCTCTGGAGAAGGCTAATGTTCCAGTCTGGTAACTCACGATGCAGCCCTAGACTAAGAGCCATGCGAGTCGCCAAGCCGAGAAAGTTTCCTCCTGTATTTGGCTTGTTCCGTTTTTGACTCAAGTTGGACAGCAACAGCAAAGCTTGCACCAGGGTCAGGTTTGCGCTTTCGAACAACGACTCATCTTCACGGAACGAAAGAGCGCGGTGGTACAGATACTCATCAACTTCACTTTCCTCATTGTCGAGGCACCACGCTCCCAGGGCCAAAACAGTATGGAGTAGCATTTGCCAAGATTGCCGGTTCGGCCGAGAAATGAGTTGGTGATACTGGGCCATGAAAGTTGCTTCGTGAATAAAGGGGTATGAAACATGGTACACGGAGAAGTAGGCATCAAGAAGCTGGTTCGCCATGTGGCCAGAGTCGAGCGATTGTTGAATATGCGATGACGACGTTGGCGACGGCTCGAGGTGTCGGGGCGAAGATGTTGCAGGCTGGAGAGGGTCCGAGACGGCTCGTCTACCAGCAATCCAAGACAATAAGGCCCGGAGGAAGTACACTCCAGCAGTAGATCCTACGCAGACATATGAGCTTCCGAGGGCATCTGTTTTCTTTTTCTTTCCACCGCAAAACCACTCACCTAAATACCCTGTGCCAGTGGGCTCCACGGCCAAAGCCGCCATGCCGTCCACCAAATCATTCGCCTCTTCTTGCCAGTCAAATCCATCCGCTTGCTCAGGGACAGCCTCCGATATCGACTCCTGCGCAGGCTGCTCCTGGCTACTTGAGCCGAGTCCGGTATTACTGTGCTGGCGGTGATCCGACGGGAACGCGGGCGTCTTAACCTGCGCCGGCGGCGTAGCCGGAGAGCTGGTGGCAATAGCAGCGAGTGCCTCATCAACATCCAAATCGGGCAGTTTCTGTGCCACCAGTTTCTCCAAATAGTTGAGCCGTCTTTCCACAGAAGTGAGGTACCTAGGGGATACTGTCAAAAAAAATCACCAAGGTGTCGGGTATCGTGTCTGTGAGACCTACTGCCTGGTGAGTGGCGACCGTACCACTTTTCCACTGTAATGGCATTGTCTGCGGTTTTGAACGCAAGCCGTGCACGCCGGGCGATCTTTGGAACACTTTGAGACGCCTTAGCTACTCCGTTGCTTGCCAATGTGGCAGAGGCAGCAAAGTCTCATACGTACCTTCAACTTCTTGATCCGACAGACGTCGCACTTTGGAAGGGGGTCAGTCATGTGAGAGAGACATGAGGGCGTCTGGGCCAAACTCACTGCCAGATTGCTGCCAGAAGCGGAGCTCGAATCCATCTAGAAGACAATTCATGAATTCCCCAGCGCTTCACGCTTTCGATGAGATGCGCTTCAACGGGATTCGCGGCGAGGTTGTGGTGGCGGTACATAAACTGATAGTAGGTCGCACTAACTCATCCGATGAAAGCTCCACTTTAATTCATATCCCATAGGCTAACCCTGACACCTAACCTTAACCCTTACATTAACCACTAACCCTAACCGCTAAACTACTGGGGGAATACCTAATATCATCAATCGAGGTTGTGAGATGGCCACATCGGGATGCAGCGGGGCGGTTTGAAGAACCCATCACGTGGGACAAAATTACGCAGCGAGAAAGCCAAGCAAAGCAGTAGCAGCGCATAAGTCTAAATAGTGTATTTTTTTTCACGCAGAGGCATTAGCACGGCCATGAATGCCATATATCTGCGTAGGTGTATTTATCTATTAAGCATCTGGAGACGCCCGGATGAAAGCCATGCCTGGAATAAGCACATACAAACCACTCACCAACTCCTCCCACGACCCTGAGCCTCGTCACAAAAACGAACGCAAGAGATTCCTCCTAACGCTAATCAACCAACCACTACTCGTGCCACGCCCCACATTAGGTTGTTCAGCTAGCAAAGCCCTCACCACCTAAGGTGGTGCTTAACACTAAGGCGGGCCACTTAGTAAGCTGGGCTAATTTTTAACCTAATAACTTAATTAACCTCTTCGCGTATAATATACACCCTTTTCGTCTTAAATTTCTAGTGAATTTAGTATAAAAGTTTAATGCTATTTACGTGTCTCTTTTACAGCTTTAAAAAACGCCTTTTTAGCTAAGTTATAGTGTTTTTTTTAATAGCCTTAATAACCTAATAAGCTTAATGAACGTTATTATTAGTTTTTTACTTAACTATTTTACGGCTATTAGTAATAAAAAGTATACTATTAGATTATAATAAGCGATTTTTTATAGCTTACAAGAAAACTACATTTTCAATTTTCAAAAAAGCTTAAATAATTAATAATAAATCTAATAAAATACTTGAATTATAATAATAAATGTATAAATTAGCTAATATTATAACTAATTAGCTTATATAAAATAGTGGGTCCTTCTAGCTTAATATAAGCTTCAAAACTAGATTATATAATTTCCTAAAAATATACTATAATACACTATACTATAAAAACTACATTTTATAGTTTTTGAAGTAGTTTTTGAAGTTCTAGGCTTATAAGAGCTTATAAGGACCCACCTTTTTATGTTAGCTTATAGTATAAAATTCATACTATTTATTCATTAACCTTATAATCTCATAAGTATTTTATTAGATTTAATATTATTTATTATATTTGAAACTATAAAAACTATAAAACTATAAAACTACACTACTTTTAATACTCTAATCTAATCTTATATCTAGTATACTTATAAGAGGGTAGAAAGGTTAAAGGTAAGGGTATAGGAGACTAGATTACCCACGTAGTAGACGTTTATAAAGGCGATAGAATTCTTAAAGCTATAAAGGTTTATAAGACCTTATTTTTAAATGCTAAAATCACTCTAATAGATATAAACCCTACTAAGGCGTAACATAGAAAAGAGCTTATACGAAAACGATAAGTAAATTATAAGAGAAAAGTAGGTAACGCTATACTATTAGCTTCTCTTTTATATACGAGCGAAAATAAACTTATTATAACCTTACGTATATACTAATAGTAACTTAAATTAGAAAATCTTATTATTAAACTCTTACGCGAATAAAGAGTTTTAGGTTAATAAAAGGGAGTAATTAGCCTAGCTATTTTACTAAAGACTAGACTTATAACTAGAGATAAATAATAAGTGTAAAGGAGACTATACTCGCTCTTAAAGCTTAGTAAGAACTTAAACCTTTATTTAATCTTACCTATAACTTATTATTCCTAGCTTACCTTTACTTAATTAACCTCTCTTTTACTCTTATTAATAGAGTACTCT